TGGTTAGTTATTATGGCACTGCCCACAAGCTTTACTTCTGAGTAACTGAGTTTTGGTAGGATATTCCCCAAGCCACGAACTGTACAATGTATGGTGAATCCCAGGTGTACACAGTGGGAACATTTCCTGAGGATAGTCTTACATGTCTGACCTCGGAGAAGCATCCCATTGCCTGCTGCTTTCTCCTGTTGACTCAGAACTGAGGCTGCAAATTTTAACCATGTCTACTCAGAAGTCCTATCGGATTCAATAGGCCTTACTCCCTCGTAAGTGGGTGAGGACTGAGTCTCTGCGAACAAGGAGGAGAGGATCTCATCCACTTTGGTTATTTAAAGTGCCAACACCAGGGGAAACATAGCTATGAACTATCTCCAGGCAGGAGCCAAACAAAGTGAAGGAATCGGAGCCCAGAAAGCACAAGTAGCTCCTTCCCGCAATGCCTCTCTTGCCAAAAAACACTCCCCACCCCACAAAAGGCAGTCACCTCGTGCCAGAAAAACTAATTGCTGGATTTACTTGAAAGGCAGCACAAGAAATTACCTCACTGCATTTTAAGCCAGTAATGTGTACATACCGTAAGATTTTGGAGCATAAGCCCATTCCTTAATGTTAACTAACCCTATGTATAACTGGAATGATGACAATCCTACCTTACCTTTCCGCCTCATTTTCCTCCTCTTCTGGTTTCACTTGTGTTTTAAATTGTAACCCTCTTGTACTAGAGAGTGACCTCTCATTCTTTATTAAATGCCATCTACCGTACATGGATAGCACTTGACTTAATACTAAAACACATTGCACAGCTTTGGGGCATTAACAATTCTGAAGCATTTTATAAGGGACAGCCTCTCCTTGGCAGGGATTTACAAATGTTCAAAGCTTATTTCAAGTGTGGTGTGAAAACTTCAATTCCTAATTCAGGTTGCTTATGCACCTACTTTGAATAAGGAATGGGGAGCCACTTTCAACTTCCTAAGGGATCCCCTCAACAGAGTTGGATTTGATACAGAGCTGAAATTGGAAAGGAAGACAAGTAACCCTTCTCCTTGTGAGCAGAACTGGCTTCTATTTGTAGATGGAGCAGTTTGAATCCTAGCCAAAATATAATGAATTATTGAAGATTCTTTGTGCAGATATTGGGAACTCACTATACATTAGACAGTCTTCTAATATGGCTCAAGGTCTCCTAAATGAGCCCCATGGGATGAGAGTTACCATATTTTTTCCTATTAATTTTTCAGCCTTAGGCCATTCTACTACATGCAACAATCCATTTGTTAATTGATTTACATGATCAAGCTTTTCCATAGGTTTTTGTGCGTAGCTGAGAGAAAACTATTGCTTTCCACCAAGTAGTTAGGATTAATTGAAACATTCCTTGCTAGAATTAAGTACTGTAAACCTTTTGCTTGTCAACAAGATGATGCAAAAGTGTGGCAAAAACGGTAGATTTATCTTGCACGCATGCTGATCTTAAAATGGGAGTGTTTATTGGGAAATGGCAGGAAGTTCATACAGGAAAATATCACCACCTCCCCATCATTGCAAAAGTATGCTCCTAATTTATAGTGGAGCTTTACAAGCTCAGAAGTATAGACATGATTTTAATTTTTTTATAATGAAAACCCTAAGCCTGAAAAAATATAAGTAACACAGGTCTGTACAAATGCCTAGGCTTAAAAGGTCAGTAACCTAAATTATTAATACCAAGATAGATTCACTTCCCACAAAAGAAATTAGACCACTGTGTGTCTTTGCTGGATTAATTTCATAGTTGTGTTTTCTTGTGAGAGGTTACCAATTTTAACCAAGGAACGTAATCCAGTGTTGTACAAGTTTAAGTTTGCTGACACAATGGAACTTCACAATCCTCCTCTATCCTGCAGACTCCCTAGAGCCCCCAAAATTGTTCTAGAGAGCCCCACAACCTTTTGGAACAGATTTTGAGAGCACTGAAGTGGGAAGATATGAAGTTCTGTGTGAACAGATGTGTTCTGCTCATGTACAGACCATGCTGGATACAACCCAAAATGTTTTCACAGCATAGTCCTGCACTTATTGGCAGGAGTTCTACAATCTTGGACAAGTTCCATGCAGCTTCTCCATGCAGTGGTTATCACGTGTACAGCTGTTCAGCATATGGATTACCAGCATTGCATAGCAACTCTCTACAGTATGTCAAGGAGTAACATTGTTGACCCCAAACAAGATTAAGGGCTGTAGTAAAGTCACCACATTAGCACAAAGACTAATACAAAAAGACTTCCTTCTCCCTCCATGCCCATCCCTAAATCTGTTCTGAGGGCTCCTCCAAACCTCTGGAGCAGATTAGGGGTCGAAGATGGGAAGGAAGTTCTGTTGCACAGGTGGAACCCCTTGAACCAATGAGACAACTGTTGGATACACCCTAAGTGTTTGTTCTTTGATAAATGAACCTACTGCAGAGGAAGATCAAATTACCTGGACTGTCACTTTCTAGTTTTATACTACAAATTCATAAACTCTCCACAAACACTCCCACCTACAGTTGTAGTCATTCTATAAATTCATCTACCATTTCCTAATATTTTCAATTACCGGTAATAAATACTGGAGTTCATTAATTCAGCCTCCCAATAGAATATATTTATTTGTATCACAATGGACAGAAAGAACCAATCAGAGTAGCAGCTGGGAGATTTCGGTTCAAGTCAGCACCATTCCACATAATTGCAATTTTTTTAAAAAAAAATCATCTTTAATCCACTCTCACTGTGAATGCAGTATGTTTGAAGGGGAAGGGGATCTGAGGGCAGATAAGCAACTGGAAAAGAGAGTAATTTTGATTATTGAGTAGGGGAAGCCACCAAAAGGGACAGCTATACTTCTTGCTATACCCAAAAGTTAATAATTCATACTAATACAGTTCTAGGTCTGTTTGGTTTTTTAGAACTATAGACTGCGTAGAGTTAGACCTGTTAGCAATTTAAATTAGGTCTGCTTTTTCATTCATAGAAATCATTTTGTGTTCCAGTAATCCTTAAACCTAAGCCGTAGTAACAACTTATATGATCAATGTATATTTCACAACACTGGAGATTGTAGGAACTATATGTATGAGCTAATATTTTACACTTTAGATTGTTCATGAGAAGACACAACTCACATTTGAAAACCCGTTATAAGAGCTACATGTTGAGAAATAGCATTGCTGTAAGAACTACTCCTGTGTTAGACAATTTGGATGCACTACTAAGTGGTTACGTCATTTCAGACAACACTATTTAACAGGGTTTCATGTCTTTTTAATTAAACCACCATAATGAACTTAGGTACATAGTCTCAACTATACCAGCATACTGCATTATTCCTTGGCATTAGCTTTTTCCTTCTCAACAAGGAAACAGGTTATATTCATGCCCTTAAAAATCAAACTACTGTTAGAACTGAATACATGCACAAACTTTACATCTTGTAAAGAGGAGGAAAAGTCAATTTAAATCAAACCAACCAATCTTATGTTGCTGTGATGATCAAATGGGTTAATTCACATACTGCCCTGAATTAAGTTCCTTGAAGGAAAAGTGGGATAAATGAGTCATCAACATCACACAGCTGCCCTGATGCTAGAAATTACTTGCTGGATCATAGCTAGTGATTGGATCATAACCAGATGTGGGAGCTTAAGTTAGAAGATGTGGTAGAACTCAGTGGCAAATATGTAAAGCAGGAGTGGGAAACCTGTGGTCTTCCAGTTGTAGTCGAACAACATGTTGAGGACCACTGGTTCCCTAATTTTAACATATAAAACCCAAGGTCCAACCCCTGATATCTCCACAGTTTAAAAAAAAGAATTTGAGGCTGTTTTAAGAGTCAGAATTAGGACAGAGAAATACCCGTTATCTAACATATTAATTTTTTTAGGATTTAAATTTTTATTGTTAAGAAAATATTTATTTGTTAAAAACCCTTATATCTTTCCCCTGGGAGAAATCTGACAGGAACTGGAGAGCATCTGGTTTATGATGAAATGAGGATGAGAATGTGTAAATGTCCAAATTGGAACAGGGTAGAAATAGTCAATGGCAGTGCAGTGGGATGATAGCCAGTCAGAAGTCCATAGCCATAAAGGAAAAATCCACATGACACAGACATTTGGAGAGGGACCCTACGCATTGAAAGAATGAGTGGAATAGAGTTCCATCTTTATTTAAATCCAATAGGAAGGGAAAGGTGTTGCTCTGGAATATGGTCAGAAAATTAAAAAGGGGATACAACTCCCCAGAACCATTGTGTGTGAGTGATAATAGCAAGCCTCCAAAGTTATTTAGTACTGAAAATGTACTAACATTCCCCTGAGCAAAAGGCCCAGGGTGATCTGGGCCCTAGCTACTTGGTCCTAAAACTGACCAGATGGGAAGTGACACAGAACTTAATCTTAAGTGGCACCCAGGACCTGTTGTGCGATGCAAGTGTTAAACCATTTGGAAACTACAGTACTACAGCTCTATCAAATTCATTACATATTGAAGCAGACAATTGCCAAGAAAGTCCAACAAAAGCATTATTTGACTTCTAAAAGGAACACTGTAGAATTTTGTTGAGGGATTGGTGAAAAAAAAGTTTGAAAAGGATAGTTAAGAGCGGGCTTCCTCAAACTTGGCCCTCCAGGTGTTTTTAGCCTACAACTCCCATGATCCCTAGCTAGCAGGACCAGTGGTCAGGGATGATGGGAATTGTAGTCTCAAAACATCTGGAGGGCTGAGTTTGAGGAAGCCTGGTCAAGAGGGTCAAATATAAGTGGTTTGGGAGCTATTAAAACACAATACACAGAAGCTCAGCTAAAATATATACCACAGATCTGCAAAATTATGACCAAAGCTATGAGGATGCCAAAGGGTTAACAAGCAGAGACAAGAGGCAAAAAGACACTCGTCAGAAAACAGAAGAGTTGCCTAAATGAGGATAACAAAAAGGAACACAAACTTTGGCAAAAAAAAATGCAAGCAGACAAAAAGGAATTAAAAGGATTATGAGGACTGTATTGGTAGAAACTTTAAGACCAACAATAAAACAGTTTATAAATACATTAAGAGACATTCTAGGGAGACAGTTGGACCTTCGCACAACAAACGAGTCCAAGGTGTGCTAAAAGAGGAGAAGGAGATTGCAGGGAACCTAAACCAATCCTTTGCATCTGTTTTCACTGCCAAGTTGTAGAGCAGATCCCTGTGTCTCATAATGGAGAAACATAAGTAGTGGGGATTTCCTGAAGAAATTTGTATTGGGACCTGTGCTTTTTAGCTTGTGCATTACTGATCTAGAGTTAGGGGTGAGCAGCAAGGTAGCCAAATTTACCGAGACACCAAAATATTTAGCGCTGCAAACCAAGTCAGATATTGAGACTCCAAAAGAAACTCTTCAGACTGGGGAAATAGGCACTAAAATGGCAAATGTAGTTCAATGAAAAGAACTGTAAGATTATGCATACTATGGCAAAGATATGTAAATATATCTCCTCACTTCACATACATGAATGGCGTCTGAACTGGCATAGCCTGACCAGGAAAGAAATCTTGCGACATAGTGGATAGTTCAATGAAAATGTCAACCCAATGTGAAATAGCTGTGAAAATGGTAAATTGTGTGTTAAGGATCATTAGGAAAGGGATCAAAAATAATGTATTTATACAAATCTATGGTGCAACCACACTTGGAATACCTTGCACAGTTCTGGTCAGTGCATCTCAATAATATTTTACAACTTGATATGGTACAAAAATGGGGAGGGCAGCCAAAATCATCCATGGGGATGGATCAACTGCACTATGAAGAAAGATTGCACAAGGGGTTTTTTAGTTTGGAAAATGGGCAAGCAGGCAACAAACACACAACAGAGGTGTATAACATTATGCATTGTGTGGAGAAAGTAGATGTAGAGAAGCAACAGCAGGGAGAGGGTTGCTTTTCTTACATCCTGCTAGTAGGCATCTGATTGGTTGCTGTGGGAAGCAGGATGCTGCACGAGACAAGTCCTGATCTAGCATATATTCTTATTCCAGCATTATCAGAAACATTGTCAGTGGCAAGACTTCCACGATCTCATGTCCATTAAATGCTTCTAACCAAGCATGCACATTGTAATGTTGTTAAAAAGTATGCTTAAACTGTTCTTAAATGAGTCTAAGACCAAGAAGCCAATCTATCCCACACATAAAATATACAATGTGTGCAACACACTGTACACACAGGTATATAGGTTTTGTGAATTTTAAACCCCCCCACCTCTTTCCTCCCTCGTTTACAAAGGATAAAATACACACTAACACCAAAACGTTTACTTCATCTGATATCAAATACTCACAAGGCAAGCAATATATGAACTTCAGTAACTTTGAGCAGAACCTCCACCCCACCAACTTCAAAACTCAATGAGCAGAGGCCAATTCAACAATATTGTATATGTGTGGTTAGACACAAGTGTGGCTGAATGCAGTTCCACTTCTGAAGTTCTTATTTTCTCAGTTAAGAAACTTTAGCTGCATAACAAAATTTAAGAACTTGAGTGTTCTATGAAAACTGCTGCAGACAAATCAGTTAGTTAACAGGAATTAATTATCCTTGGTTAAAATAGAGATACAGCACTAAGGAAACACAAACCAATCTAGCACTTTTAAATATTATTAGGACTATGTTAGTCTTTATTGAACTTTTTAGGTGTGCTACTCCCACTCAAACTGAAAATGCTCATTCAATTTGTTTCTCAACTGGTTAATTTCAGATAGAAATTTTCAGAACTTAACATTCATCTCATTTATAGTCTCAAATTCAAAAACCTTTATTCAGTTGTACCTCATAATTGATGGAATTGAAAGTGAAAACCTTCTTTAAACATAATGGGTTTGATCAAACACTGCAGTTCCATTCACACAACAGACTTCAGCATGCACAATGGAACTTTCTCCCCAGTTGCATACCCCCCCACAGTGCACCATCAAAATCTGCTCCAGAGATAGGCAGACTCTCCATAGCAGTTGCGAGCGGGGGTGCAAAGGGGGGGGGAGGGAAAGTTCTGCTTTACACACAGAAATCCGCTTGTGCAGTGTTGGATACAACTGAGCATTTTTCCTCTTTATTATTGAAGTGTAAGAATGTTCTGAATCAGTAGTTCCCAATTAGCTAAGTACCGCAGACCCCATTTTTCAAAAGCCAAACTGTGGACCCCGTACTTTTGAAAATACTGATATCTCTATAGTAGTTTTTGTTACGTGGATGGTGCCAGAGATCTCCTCGGTGGATTACGCAGACCCCCTGGGGTCCATGGACCATTCTTGGGAACAAATGTTCTAAATCAATTGAAATCCATTCTCCGAAGGGACTGGACTCCAGAGGGAATCCCTCCCCAACAGACCTCAGCACCACCTCATATGATGTTTAAAAAGTTTCTCCAACTCTCCAGAACACCTTTTCAGGAGGCACCAGGAGTCAAAGATGGAGGAATCAGCATAAGCCATACTGTGACTAGAGTTCTGCTCTTGGGAACTCAGGATCTAACCTAAATATGTATAATATAATAAATGTTGAACTTTTAAGGTAAGGGCAAAAGCACCTGTTAAAATGTTAAGTTACAATATAACATTGCAAGCCATTCAGTTTAATTAACAACTTAAATTTGGTGTGGCTACTATTTTAACTTCTGCATTACCACTTCCACATAGGGAACAGCTATTCAAACATACATAATTTTCAAAATAAAAAATTATCTCCCCTCACTATGGCAAATTTATCTGTGAAAGAGGAAATTCAATATCAAAACCAGTATAAAAATAACATGCAGCTAAAACTTAAAAAGCAGATTTAGGCATTATGAATTTTATAGACAATCTCTGCCTTTTCTATTTTCAAAATGTTACAATTTGATTTCAAGGGGTATTAGGAAAAAACACTGTACTGGCAGACTGGGCACTAGCCTGCACATTCAATCAAAATTCCATGATAATTATAGGGCAATATTTTTTATTATTATTTCAAAACAGATTGTGTGAAGTTTAGTGGTGAAAAAAGATGAAGCAAATGAGGGAGTTTAAGGACGTGTATCTACACACAGATGTAAAGGTCTAATTGGTAAAGAGGCAAAAATAGTTGTAATATTTCATTTAACTTTTCAGAGTCCAACATCATCTGTTTTTAAAAGAAATATAAATACTTCAACATTGGGCAATATATTGGTTTGGTGTAACTACAAATGTTATGCAGTTTCAGTCTTCTTTAAGGTATGGACTTGAAAACAAAATAATTATTGAGGTGGAGTTGGAATGTATTCCTCAGTTCCATTTAGATCTGCAAGTGAAAGAAAAGTATGAAGAGTCAAGAATTACAATTTCACTATAGCATGTAAAATATAATCTATGATAAGCTTAATATCTTGTGTCGCTTGAATTGCTGTTCGTGGTTGCTCTTTTATCATGACTATGCATGACAGGCAAAATTTTATTCCACTGACATCAAGGATCAAAAAGCTTTTGGCTTCAAATTGACTATAGCTAAAGAACATTGGATAACTTTCCATCTCTGTATGGCTAGCTAATGTAACAATGTTAATTTCCAGTTATTCATATCCAAAACGCTTAGATCTGAAGTATAAAGGCACATATGTTCATGAACAGAAATGGATCACTGATCAATTGGTTGAGTACTAAAACACCACTAGATAAGCTTTGAAACACATAGTTAAGCTTCGTCATTCATGAAACCACTTACTGACATGCTTGAGGAAAGGGTGTTTATTCTGGCAGGTAATAATGCCCAGAGGCCTGATGACCAGCACTCTACAATCCTGCTTGTCCCTCTTGCTATGTTAAGAGGTTAACCAAGCTCTGGGAAGTGAGTTCTCTGGAATTCTCTTCCTTTAGAAGTGAAGCAGGCCCCAGCATTGTTGTGAAAACTTCTCTCCAAACCCGTGCCAAATTGTTTTGTTTTTGCAGTTTATAATAATTAAAGGCCGGCAGAAAAACTTGGGAGTGGATATGCTCAAAATGTATTTCGACTAAACTGCCCTGACACAAAAGAAATCAGTGGGCTTGGGCGCCCCTAATTATTCTCATGATTGCCTCTTAGCATAGTGGGGATTAGTGGGGACCATCATGGCTGTGAATTCTGGAAGACCTGCTTCTTGCGGTCCTTTTCTCCCCTGGCCTGGGAGGGTGCAGACCAAACTGACTCCAGTTACAAAAGCTGAGGCTGCTGAACAGACTTTCAGGTTGGGACACTGATTTTTTTTGAGGGGGAAGGGAGGGTTGATGCTATTATTGATATTAATCTTTTATATCTATTATGATTAATGTGGAAATTGATTAATTTGATTATGTATTTTTTGATGTGTTTTATGTATTGCTTATGACAACTTTTGTTATATTTGTGATTACAGGTGGTAACCATTTCACGCGGAGGTGCTTGCAACCATTCTGCCTTGGTGATTGCATGTCAATTCAATGCGCCTAAAATGGTTGCCACTTGTATGTTAAATTTCAGCCTTGAGCATGGTTTTAACTATGGAAAGGCAGCATGCAAATAAAATGGTTTATGTATATGCTGCTGAATGGGAGCTGGAAAACAACAAACCAGGACTATTTTTGAAAATCTACATCGTCTACTTAAGTACAATTTACCTGTTAGAGAAGTGAAGGTAGTGTTTTAACTTAAAAAGAGACACGAAGGGAACTCAAATTTGTGGGGGAGCAATGCCATCTGCACTATAAGTCATTCTTTCTCCTTAATTCTGTGGAGGGCAGGGCATTCTTGCTCAGTGGAAAAGGAAAGGCTCTCTACATTTACGCCAAACCATTATTCTACATTTTATGCTTACCAGGCTCAGTTACAATTTGCAGAACCCTGGCCAAGCAATATAACTTGAGTTGAATGTTACAAAGTGTTAGCATACTCTACCCTTGAACAACCATCATAATACTTTCCATGTACTTACATCATCAATATCTTCATCATCATCTCCAATATCATCAAATTGGATTTCATCATCATCACCAGGCCCAAATGTATCGGTTTCATTAATTTTGGCTAGTAGAAATTAAAACAAAATAGAAACACATTTTAGCAGCTGTTTTACTGTGAGTCCCCCCACCTCCGTTATTTGTAACAGCTTCTGAAATGACCAAGGAAATTCTTACCATGCTCTGGAAGTTCTCCATATGCCTTCAGACTTCTGGCTTCATCTGCATTGTACTTTAGAATGACGTCAGCCTTGTTATCCTAAATAATATTAAGTTACTAGTAAGTAGTATTTCCGGGGGGGGGGGGGATAATCTAGCTCAAAACTTACTTTAACTGGACATTTAAATTGTTATTTCTTATCAAGCCCTATATATTGAAGTCAACCTCCTTGCCCCGTTATAGACCAATTTTTGCTGACAGAGCTTATTTCAGCAGAGGCATGTACTTTTCAAGTTTATATACTAAAAACAGTTTCAGTACTAAAAATTATTATTAGAAGACCTGGAAGTGAGAGGGGAGGAGAATGAGCTATGTACTATAAAGCTCAACTTGTAGGTGCTACAAGTCAAGCTACACTTTTTCAGCCACATCATCTCTGCTACTTTTGACTCTTAAGAAGCTCCATATTAATTTTATTTATGAACCAAAGTGTGTCTAAAATTGGTAATTTACTAACTTTGCTATTGCTTGATTCTACCCCACTTCCTTTCTCATTTATGTTGAGCCTACTATAGGAACTGGATAGATTGATGGTCTGTGGTAGCGCTCCTGCCTTCCTAGTTGTGCTAGAAAATGTCTCCTTCTCACCTCATCCTCTGCAGAGACAGGTAGGTATATGACACAGCTAGGCCATACTACACTACACATTAGTCTTACTGGAACTACAGGCGCAGCTCAAACACACACACAGACCACTGCATGACTTGAAGCTTTACCAAATGAACAGAGGACAGGAACGATGAATGAAGGGGCAGGTGGTTCACTACTGCATAAGCAGTGCTACAATGTGGGGTTCTCCCCACATCTTCCAATGTAGTCACATTTTCCAATATGTGGGCAGTGAGGCTATAACCTCTTGAGACGATCCTTGCCCAAAACTCTTAGCCAAGACAGAAGCTGAATGGATTAATTCCACAGAAATGAGAGAAGAGATGTTTTCTCTTACCAACTATGTCTGAGATTCAGCATTTATTAGTTTTTTTTAAATACGAAGTTATCAAAGCTGGGGAACTTGGGCTTTGTACAAAGCATGCTTTAGCACTTATTCCATACATTTTAGTTATCCCTTTCCCTTCTGCCTAAGGGGAAGTCATTGGTTTGTTTTTGTTTTTATTATGTATTTTGTGTTTTTACCTTGTGAACCACCCTGAGATCTACAGATGAAGGGCAGTATACAAATTTAATAAGAATAAAGTGCCAGCAGGTGTGGGTAGGTTTATAAAATATGGCCCATACAGGAGAGCAAGGTGTTTGGGCTTTTAATGTTTACACCAGCAACTCAGGTTTTCGGGACTCCTCATTTGCAGTTACAAAAACCAAGAAAAGAAAGAAAAACAACAATATTTACCTGGTAATCTCTCAAACCCACCAGTATGATATCTGATGTATTTATCCAAACCTAAAATTCAAACAAATAATTAAGGAAAACCTACAAACCCAAGATTCTTCCTCATTAACAATCTAACAACAATAATATCATTTGATTTTTTGAACTTCAAAATAAAAAAAAATAAGTCGCTCAGCTCACAATGTAGAGAAGAGCAGAACCAAGAAAGAGCTTGAGGGAAGTTGGAAGAAATATAATCAAAGGTGGCAGGAAAGTAGATATGGTAGCCACAAAGCCATAATAAGTGCGATCACCAAGGAAAGCGGAGAATAAAAAGCAGCAATCAAGGAATGCAAGACCTTTTACGGACACAAATGTCAAAGAGGACAGGGAAATACTGTATTGGCCCAAATGTAAGCCACACTTTTTTCCAAATTTGGGTTGTGAAAAGTTAAAGTGCAGCTTATATTTGTGACCTTATGGCTCCACCCCTCCCCCGCAGGAAGCAGCCCAGGAGCATGGGGCAGTGGCCCACTGCTCCCAAGCCTCCCCCAGCTGCCAGAAAGAAGGGGGAAAGCCGCTGGCAAAGTGGCGCAGCCCCCCCCCCGAGAGCAGCCCAGGAGGAGAGGGCAACGATGTGCAGCCCGCCTGCTGCTCCCAAGCCTCTCCCGGAGCCAGCTTGGGGAGGGAGTGCTGGGAGAATTTAAGGCCTGCCTAGTTCAGGGCAGTAGCGCCAGGCTGCACCCATAAATAAGCCTTGAATTTTAAACATGCGGCTTATTTGCAGGTGCGACTTATATTTGGGCCAATACAATAAATAGGAGAATCAAAAAAGGAAATTATTTAGGAAGGCAAGGAATGAGAAGAATCCAACAAATATGCTAATAGAAAAATGAACCTTTCACATCAAGAAGAACAATGATAGATTAAGAAAGAACTTCTAGGTTTTGTCTCAAGAAAGCCAATTTAAACATTGATGAGAGCAACTGCAGTACAGGTGACTCTCAACTTACACTGAGGTTATGTTCTGGGGATAGTGCGTAAAGCCAAAACCACGTATAGTCAAAACACATTGGGTTCAAGCAGGTGGGATTCCCAAAGTCTTTCTCCCCAGACACCTACCCCTTTTCATTAAAAACAATTTCCCTCCAAGCATATAAAGCTGAATCGCAGAAGTTAAATGTGCGTAAGTTGCGAGTTACCTGTACAGAAGTTGATGAATCAAGGAGTGGGTGGAAGTAAGAGTTTAGTATACTGGAAAACAGATCCATAGGATAGGATGGCCGGGAGGGAAGGGGGGAAATAATATGGAGGGAATGTAATGGTATTTAGAAACTCCATCCTGGACTTAAAGTAGGAGAACAAGTTTGGAGTCACAAACTGGAAACATTATGAGGGAAAGCAAGGGAGCAATCTGTGAAAATTCACACCAGATCTCTAAAACCTTCTTGAAGATGGCAAAATCTTTAGCTTTAAAGAGCAGGAAAGGGGGGGGGGAATTGAAGAGCAACAAGACATTCTGAGTGACAGTCAAATGGAGGACACTGCAGTGCAATTGTTTAGTAAGGAAAAAAGTAGGGCAGATCTGTTAAAATTAAGTGTGGCTTTAATATTTTTCTGTACACACTTAGCAGACCAGTATTGAGAGGACAAATAGTGGTGGTATCAATCATGTTCTGACAGAAGGCAAGGAGAGTAGAGCAATAGTATCCAAAATACTGATGTCAAGACCCATACTCTGTCAGCAAACTAGTGTAACATGGGTCATGTTATAGAGGAATCACTACAAATATTTGTTGTTTACTCTGAAATTCATTAGTTAACTTCAGTCACAAAGTCCATTCTAGCAAGTCTTTGGAAACATTGGTTGAAAATACGTACCTTTTTTCTTAACTTTCCTCTGATGTGACATAACCTCTTTACACCATCAAAACATAATGCCTCCAGTCTGCCATTTCCCAACATTTTGATAACCTGGGCATACTCTGAAAGACATGAAACGGCAGCTGAACCTTGACAGTTGTATGCATAACCAAAAGAGGGAGCAAGCTTGTTTTCTCCTGCTCTGGAGGGTAGGACTCGAACCAATGGCTTCAAGTTACAGGAAAGGAGATTCTGACTAAACATTCGAAAAAACTTTCTGACAGAGCTGTTCAGCAGTGGAACAGACTCCCATGAGAGGTGGTGCACTCTTGGAGGTTTTTAAGCAGAGGTCATCTGTCATGGAAGCTTTAGCTGAGATTCCTACATTGCAGGGCATTGGACTAGATGACCCTTGGGTCCCTTCCAACTCTAAGAGTCTATGACTCAATGAAAACTTATGTCCTATTTAATAAATCAGAAGCAAAATGTCAGATTTTTCACAGCTGCTTGAGTTTAAAATGTCTGAACACAAAAAATGGATCCAGCCACCAAAAATATATGACTACATTCAGTACTACCAGATTACTAAATCCACAAGCTGACCCTTGTATCATAAAACTCCTAAGTGGTCAACATAAAATAAAATATACATTAAAATTATTGATCAATCAGTTAAAAAAATTAATGTATTTTTCAAAAAGAAAATATGGCTAATGTAACTAGAAATCCTTTCCACAAACTACTGTATTCCCCTAGTTCACCATGCTTGTGTGCTGATTATTTGGTTATGTTTTCTGAATTATTTATCTCTATCTCTCTCTCTCTCACACACACACACACAAAAAATGTTAAAAGAGAAATCTTGTTTATCAGATTTTCACTCATTTCAATCTTTTTAAATTTTTCACAAGGCTAATTTAAGTACCATCTGGCATTTAAAACTAAAGCAAATATCTCTGGAGACGCCCAGATTTGTAGCAAAATATTATATTTTTCTAAACCCTTCTCCACCCCCTTCCACCTCTCCTTATATCCTGTATCACACATTCATTGTTTCTTTTAATTTTGCTCATTGTTTCTTTTAATTTTGCATAGAAGCTGTTTTCTTTTGGGGAGGAGAACACGTATCTTTGTACTTCTCGTTTGAATTAAACATGCAAGTTCTGTGTTTTCTCCCTTTCTCAATTAAAGAGAACTACAAATGTCTCCTCCAAAAGCTTCATGTCCAGAAAACCACGGCAATCCAATGACATTAACCATAAAATGTTACTGCATTCATAGGGGATAACAAAACTGTGTGCCTCACCTTGTCCATCTTCTTTGAACACCAGTTCTCTTTTTTCTGATTCATTCTCATTCTTACCTCGTCTTCTGTTTTTACCTCCCTTACCTAAATTGCAAGAAAAATGGAGAACCACAATTTGAAATCCTGCATGAAAAACTGTTGAATAAATTAGTGGCATATCAGGCCTCCCAAAAGCTTTTTTTTTAAATAAGAGAATTTGATTTTTTTCTGAAATAGCAGATTTTCATCTAACCCACTCTATGTTCCTTGCTCTAAGGCAGTTAATTTTTATTTAAGACTTGGAAGGCGATCTCAGTGCTACAGCTAATAGTAACAGCTCCTATGAGCTAATTCAGTAAAATTCAGATACAAAGTATACAAATTCCCCAATAAGGTACAATATATAGACTATCCCCAATAAATGTTAACACAACTACTTGTGTTTTGTTTCCAATAAACATCTATAGTTCTGCTAAGGTTTGCAGACATTTTCCCTTCCTCAAATGCATATATTGTAGTTAGCTAACAGAATTAGCTATAATAATACAATTTTCTAGTTTAGTAAGTTGTAAGAGGAAAAGTAGTACGTTAATCATTCAAATCTAGTGCATATTCAAGTATATTACACCAGAAACTTAAATAACCGTGGAAACCAAAGGCAGCTTTATACCAGACAGAATATAGCTTACGTATCATCTACAACACTAACACCATGTAGAAAATATGGATTAACACCTAATTATAAAGCCATTAATAATAAATCACAGAACAAACACAATCTCCCTCCATTTTCAGTGTGTGTAGTAGCTACTAATGAATATCAAATTAGTAATTTAATTGAATTTATAGTGTAAAAATAATTTGTCCTCTTCCAAAGGCAATGGATGTAACTATTTTGCACATATATCTATGTGTATGTAAGTAAACAATGACGTAGAACAGGCATAGGCAAACTCCAGCCCTCCTGATGTTTGGGACTACAATTCCCATCATCCCTAGCTAACAGGACCAGTGGTCAGGGTTGATGGAAACTGTAGTCCCAAACATCTGGAAGGCAGAGTTTGTCTATGCCTGACATAGAACTTCTTGCACTGAAAAGATTTGTATAACACTTTGGAAAACATTCATGCTACCAGTTTATCCTGAATTGTAGGAAAATGTATACTTTGAAGTTCAAAATCAAAATTCAAATTCATCAGCTGTTTAGACTGCAAATCTGAAGGCAGATGCTACCTTGATCTCTGTTAATGATTCTGGGAATAATATTTAACTGGAAATTGGGGTAAAAATACTTTTAACTGGATATGTATGTAGCTATTTAACAATTTCCATCCTGAAGACTTGACCAGGCAACAACCAAACAGGATGTGACAGCCACTAAACACTTAACCATTTCAAATAAGCAGTTATTCAGCAAGGAAGCTGGGTCTAAGAGAAACACCAAGCACACTTTATTTTCCATTCTGTCTTTTTGAAGAGTATATTTTTATCCATCTGAGGACAGAAAAACAAAAAAAGGCCAACAGGACCTAAGAAGAATCAAGTGACCAATGTCTTTCTCTGATGCCCCAGGAAAACAAACATAAACCAAATAATCAAAACCAACCCAATAACCATAAGACACAGCAAATGAAAGGGAAGTAAAGGTGTGTGTGGGAGGTGTCACAGTCTTAAATCACCAATTCTCATACAGGTCCTACCCACCCAGACGGCCTAAAAAGGCTGTGTGATCCTACACACACGTGTAGTATTGAATATACGCAATAAATACAGGACGGTTCTCTTCCAAGACACACACTTGGGAGTGAGCCCACTGAACTAGGCGGGCCTTAAATCCGAATATAAGTACTCTGGTGGGGGAGACTGTAAGGTTGCGAGGGGAGAAAGAAGGGAAGAGAAAAAGACGCGAGAAGGAAGGGTGGCCACTAGACCCTCGCCTCTCTTCCGAAAGAGGAAGGCGGCGCACTTCAACCCCAGCGGAGCGCCAGGCCCAGGGGCGCCGAAGGCAGCGCCTTATCCCGGGGTGGGACTGAGCCTCGAAGGGGAGAGGGACGGCCGGAGGCGCCGCGTGGAGGCGGAGGTCTGGCCAGGCCTCACCTTTATTCTTCGGCATGGCGGCGGCGTCAGGTGCTGCTTAGCGGGCGCAGCGTCGGCAGAGGCGGGAAGGAAGGAAGCGCGAGCGGGGTCGCCCTCCGCCTTCTTTGAGCTGCTGGCTGAGGTAAGCAGAAGACCGGGCGAGGCGGTGACGCGCGTCTCGCGACAGCGGGAGAAGGGAGGCGAGAGTGCCGCGCGGGCTCCGCTGAATCCCTGCGAGAGAAGGAAGACGAAGGAGAAGCAAGCGTCGTCTCTTCTCCGTCGGCCCCAGAATGCACTTCGCTCGCGCAAGTTCCGCCAACCGCTCGCGGCCGTGTCTCTAGCACCCCCTTCTGGTGGGAGGAACAAGCTGACGGACTAATGTTGTTTTGACGCACGGCGGAGGCGGTTCATTCCCTCCCTGCGTGATTACGGGCAGGGAAGTCCCGTGCGTCATTGGCGCGTGAGGAACGGTGCCTGCTCATTGGCCAAAGGCCACCCTGGCCGCCAACGCAGCCCTCTCTTTCCGCAGCAGCTGGCAAGCATTCAGAGGCAGCCTCTGCCTCCTCAGGGGAGGGCGCCCCGGCCTAGTCGTTTAAGGAAGATCTTTCTCTCTTTAATTAATGGCTGTACTTCTTTTCAGTTTTTCTGAGGCTCCTGTGCCATATTGATCCTGCCCCGCGTCACTCACCAGCCATGACTTTTTAAGATTAAAGAGAAATGTAGTGGGGCTTAAATCAGTGAAGAAGGGGTTTAATTTTAAGTGATGTACAATTATATGATTCTGTTATGATTTATTTGAGATTCCTGCATGGCAGGGGGTTGGACTAGATGATTCTCAGGGTCCCTTCCCTTCCATAGGATTCTATGGAACAATAGGATGAGAGAAGCCAAAAAGCCAAATACATAATGGCTGGAAAGAACTTGGTAAATCCTATATTCAGATGGTACCGTAAATCATTTTTTACCATCTGAATACAGTATAGGACTTTACTGCCTTGAGTTAAAGCTAATGCAGTTAAGGACCAAACTAGGTTTGTTAGCTCCACATCTGTGCCCATAGGTGTTTCTAAAATCAATTTGCCAAAGGGAGTTAATCTTAATTAATCTAGCATTCTGAGTAGGGGTACTTTAATATTTTGTCTTCCACTATGCTCCCAATAAGGATCAAGGCCCCATGCTAGAAATTAGTAAAAAAAGGTAAAATCCTGACAGTTAAGTCCAGCCTTAGCCACCTATTTATCTACTTGCACTTTTTGGCGTGCTTTCAAACTGCTAGGTTGGCAGGAGCTGGGACCGAGCAACAGGAGCTCACCTTGTCATGGGGATTTGAACCTCCAACCTGATCGGCAGGCCCAAAAGGCTCAGTGGTTTAGACCACAGCGCCTACGAGAAATTAGTATAAAGGGGGAAATATCCCATTCACTTCAATGGGAGCTTCCACCTTCCTGCTACTGTGCCATTGCAGATAGGGATCCAGCAATGGCAAATGATATTCCACTGTGCACTGAAGGACACAGATACAGAGCAAATATACCGTATTCACTCAAGTCTAATGCACCATCAAATCTAATGCACACCTCAATTTTCAGAACCTTGAAACCAAAAAAAGAGGATTTGCTGGTGAATGTAAATGTGCCATCAAATCTAATGTGTACCTTAATTTTTGGCAACGTAATTTGGCCAAAAAAGATGAACATTAAATGCAAGTAAATACAGTAACATCTGGCCCTAACTCTATCTTCTGTGCTCTATTTAATGCAGATTATATTTTTTCAACCACAGGGCAGCTTTCCTTCTCCCCCCCCCCTTTGCCTGACAATTGGAGTGTTCTGAAGAAAGCTTGCTATCTTATTTTTTAATTTGATTGATCCTAATAAATGTATTGTCCCAACTCTGGATTTTGACCTTTCTTTTAGATATAATGCTAATTTGTGGACAGTGAGAAAAATAAACATAGCTCTGTCAGCCTAGATCAGTCATTTTCAAATTCAATTACTCTTGTCCAGCTGATTTGTTGGGCAAATGTTTATAGACTGGGGTTTTTCATCAGACCTTGAAAAAGAGAAGTTATGGTATATTTTAGAGAACTTTTATCTTGTCCAATGAATCTTGTGTATAAGAAAAGATTTAGGGACCTTTTCTAAAGCCATTCTGTACACAGTACTAGGTCTATAGGGCAATGATTAGGTCCAATATACAACTGAGAACATCAGAGGTGAGATCCCTGTGACCTTTCGCACATTGTTGGGCTCCAGTTCCCATCATCCCCAGCCAACATGGCAAAATGTCAAGAAAGATGAGAATCCTGGTTGGCATCCTGGAGACTATGGAAGTGTGCGCCTTCGGGGATCAAGTCAAACCATTGCGAGAGTTGCAGCACCTACTGTGGCTGTAGAGACCAATACGGAGAAGACACGTTTTTGTTGCAGACACTTTTTGTTGCAGATGGGGCAAATGAAGGAGTCCAGTTGTGCTGATGCAGGTGTACCATGGTGTTTCTTCTACTCTAGCAACATCTGGAGGCACCACATTAACTTCCCCTGCTCTAAATAGAATATACTGAACTCTTATCCTGTAGTTGCAGATCACAGAGGCAGATTGCTATGGACTGGCAAACTGCCTTTCAGGGAAGCTTATCCACTATTATCTTATTGAAGATCTGATAAGTTCAAAGAACTCCTGTTCTCTAGCTCAGAATTTGAAAGCCACAGTTCTAAATTATAGCTTCATCAGTTTGCAGCAGCAAAGAGCAGTTGACTGGTTTGTTGAGGCAAGGGCATCAGAAATCCAGTGTCACTGTAGAGGCCTAATTTAGCATACCAGTGTTAACAGTATGTAGTGTGCCACCCACACCCCAGTTTCCCTGTGGATGGGACTCCACGCAGCTATGAATACACTTATCAACAACTGAATTGTGTGGTGTTTATGTTTTTTTCTTGGTATGTTCCATGCCAGAATATGCAGCACAGGGAGGGAGGTTGTATGGGAGATTTCATACCAATGAAGTTAAACATTTGACTTCTTAAAAACTGGCATTTTGGAAGACAAAGGTTATTTAAACAAGTATATAAAACTTACCAGCAAATGAAAACCCTGTGAATCTTTATGTGGGTCAGGATCATTGATACTTGCTGATCAGATGAATGGATCTCCCATTTGCTCATGGAATTTTATTCTCCCTCCAGGTTTTCATTTGGCAGGAGGGCCCATGAGCTGGAGCTTCCCTAAATCTTCTAATTGCTCCTTTGCAAGTGGGTCTCCCTGACAGTCCAACCAAGTTCCACTGGGATTGGCTGCAGTAGGGAGTTTCTCGTTGGTTACACAAAGCTTTGGTGCAAGAAGAAGCCTGCTCCAGAGGCCAGCATAATCATATGCAGTTTCTGAAGGGTAGGAGAAACTAGGTCATGCTGGACTTTGGACGTGAAGGCCATGCAAGTCTCTAACCCAGCTTCTGCCTGCTCTAGAAATTCTTCATTTACTACAGGAGTCTAAAAAGGTTAGTTTGGCATGTTTGCCAACTATTATTTGTGGGCACCTCTGCTACTTATTCAGGCATGCACAATAGGCTTCAGAGCACAAAGGAGACTATATTCCATACAACATAATGTGAACAAGCTAAGAATCATACAACTAATGAATAATACTTGTTTTGTAATGAGAGAAGTGGCAGATTACTTGAAATGCACACATTAATATATCTTTGAAAGTTTATTTGCTGTATAAATTCAATTTCTTTTGAAGACTACAAAACCTGCCCTTTGACAAGGATACAAGCAATTGTATCTATCTTTCAAGGCTCATCTGTGGTTATATCTGGAACATTTCCGATTACACATATACAGTATTTTTTGGAAACATACATAGCTCTCAATAAAACCATCAGAAGTTATCAGTCCTTTAGTCTCCTTATCAGCACTTCAGTTCTATGATGCTAACAAAAGCATCCAACAGATGCTATTTTAATTTTCTACTCTAAAGGTACAATACAGCCAGGTCCTTTTGTTGTACCTTAGACTTGCATGCCATGCTGAAGAAGTCAATATAAAGAATGATTGTACATAACTGTAGAAAAATATTTTCTGATATTAAAAAAAATTTCTTATGTAGATTCCCCCTCCCTTCACTAAAACTGTTAAAATAATTACATCCCTCATGAGTGCACTTTCCCTAGGTCAGAAGTATAAAGATAAAGCTAATCATATACATCACTTTCATGAGTTAAAAGCCATTCATTACTGCTTACCAAGGATTCACATGCCTCTGAACAAAAGCCTTCCTTTCCATTACCAGAAAAGCAATGCTTCAGTTCATCTACTACATTTACTACAACAAAACTACATACAATTATTTCCTTATGCCCTGATTCTGTATTTAAAAATCAATTTTAAATACTTTGCTTGCTTGGTCTTGACAGACAGCTAATCTAACAAGAATGATTGTAAGAAATCTCAGTTTTCTCCTGCTCGGATATTGAGAACATAACTACTAATTTATTTTGTTTTGCTGGACATCCAACTGCAGTTCTCAAGCCCTTTCTTTCTTTCCATATCATACTTGTAGGGAAAAGAAAATACAGTAAAGAGTACTTTTGAGATGTCATAAAACCAGTACAGTGCGTATTTGAGGAAAATCCTGCGGTTTGACATCTTGTCACAGGGTGGCTTGTTGGGCCTTGGAAAGCTGCTTCATATTACCAGAGCTATAAATTAAGCTGACAAATTATTGCCACCTCTCTATCGCGTAGCAATAAATTCAGAATATCCAGTTTATATATTGAGAGTAATGAAAATGTAACTTCCTTACATTCATATGAGTGTCTTAAGGGTCCTGACATTTTAAAGTGGTTTCAAAGGTGCCAATTCTGAATCTAAGTAGGCATATTTATTTCTCTTACCACAGTTATGAATACACAGGGAATATTAACTTTGTGGAAGGGAAAATGTGAGCAAGTGAAGACCAGTGAAAGGGTTTTTCAGCACCATGTTCTAACCAAGTGACTATGCAGGTGATCATCACTGAAAGGATTAAAGGACTGAGTTGGGCTATTTTATTGTGAATAAATTTTTTCAAACTTACCCTCCAAAACTCTTGGGTAAGTCAACAGTCCTAAACACTTTAAATGAGTTTGCCTTTTGCCATCCATCAAAGAATCTACTTTAAAGCAACTAGTTTGATAATTCAATCAAATTTAGTAAACGCATGATTTCTTGAATATTTGGGGGGCTTCAGTGATAACTGCACTGTTGATACCAATATTTTAAGCAACAGACAGAAAGCAACAGCAGTAGACTGGTGGTTCCTCTCTGATATAAAAAGTAACATGAGTTTGCAGTTATATTTTACAGTAGTTGCAAATTTTATCCTTTGGTTTAAAATCTTTTAAGAAATCAGCCTACTAAGAAATAGCGCTAAAGGGGACAGGTTTGTGAGCACTAGAGGAACTGTAAAATTACTTGGTGTTAAATAGTTTCTAGCATATAACTGAGCTGGGGTGAGCATATCCACGTGTAAAATAAGGCCAACCAAATCAATGGTTAAATTTAAATATGTTTCCGTTAGTTGAGGGACTTCTTTACAGAAAATGAAAATGAGCCTCCCTGATCACTGCCTGAAGTATTCAGAAAAAGCCAGAATTGAAGCAGTACAACTTATCTTCTGAATCATGTGCACCTATACATCTTTTTTGCAGGATCCTGATTCTCCTGTGAGTATGAGACAGTCAGTGCAACACTGAAACCATTTCCCATTCCCATATGAATACATTACTACACAGCAAAGAAAAGCTGAATGTAGACAGTAAAAAAAATCTGGATTTGGATATGGATGTGTCGTGTTTGAAACAAGCCAACATTATTGCTGTAGAGTGTTGTCCAGAAAGCTAACTTGTTATAAAGCAGAGTTTAGGTAGAGGAAGGAGTGCTTGTATAAGAAAAAGGGTGTAAGTTAGTAACTAGGGACTAACTAATTGCTGCCCCTACACAAGGCGCAAGGACTGTGATCCGGCAGGTGGCACCTGCTAACAGAGGAAGAGGGGAGGTATTTTTTGGGATTCCCTGTCCTGCCTATGGCCCTCAGTGCCCCTGAAAATTAGTTCTGGAGAAGAGGAGGAGCGGGAAATCAACAAATAATCCCCATTGTTCTTCCTTCATTAGTGGAAAAGTTCTGCTGGAGCAGCAATGCTAGGATGAACAACTGAATTTCACTCTAGGGAGACATAGTAACGAACACTAGCCTAAAGTAGTTCACATTTTTCTAGGGTCAGGTGAGTTTTCACTCAACAGTAACATTTTAAGATTTACAGTGCAATTCTGTTGCATATTTACTCATAAATAAATCCTATTATATTGATCAGGGCTTACTTTCTAGTAAATGGGGTTGCAGCCTGAGTGGCCCCGGATGAGAAGCTGGATGTCGCAAAGCCCAAGCGAACAATGCAAGACTGGATATAATTGAATCCAACTGTGCAAAGTTATTTTGTAAACATAACATTAAGGGAATGATTTAAATTAAGACGTGCCTCTTTCTCAAGAGCAAAGCTACCAAAGCAAAATGATGACTTATGAATAGATCTAACGCAAATGCAAAAAGACAAGCATCTTTAAAGCATCTGATAAAGAAACCCTCAATGACAAAGCAATCCCTGAAAGAGGTCTTCCTTTGCACGAGACTAGAACAGTTTCCTACAGGTTCGTGAAATGTGTTAACTAATTTGAGATCACAGGTAGAAAGCCCAAGTTATTGCAAGAAATCAGTTCAGTTTCCCAAGGCAACTGTTCGTTAATGACAAGGAGAACAAGGCCCTATACCATTATTGATATCTCTTACGTTGCTATTGAATTATTTTTAAATGATTTGCCAAAATACTGGATTTTAGCTAATAGCTGCAAGCATTTTAGCATCCTTATGAAATTTAAGATATGATAGCTATGTTACAACTTAAGCTAGCCCATCTATGACAAGATTGAATAAGCTTGACCATGGAAATGATATGCTTCCTTCCTTTGAGTTGATTTAAGTTATTTGTGGGAAACAGGGAGTATTTTTTAAAAAATGCTGAGTTTTCTTAGCTTGTCTCTTCACAAGTCCAGAGACACAAATGGAATGTCTGATTAAACTGTTATGAATTGCGTCGTAAGTGCTTCAGAGGTATTATTGTGCTGATCAACTAGTAGTTGAGGACTACTCTAGTTAAGAATGAAATACACGAAGGACCACAGAGCTAAAATAGCAGCCTATTGAAAATATCTGATTAAAAATAGAGTAAAAGAAGCATAAGATGTTTGGGTCCAGTATTGCCTTTCCACTTAAAAAGGGGTCTGAGAAACAGCAGAGGCTTACACAGGAGGACAGGGAGATTTCTGCCGATTCCCCCTGCAGCCCCCCAGCACCAATTCCTATGCTGATACTCTGAATCCACAATATTAGATCAATGCGTCAGAAACAATATTCAGGAAACCCAACTAGAAAAGGTAGCTGGCTCATTCTTTGCACAGAACACTCCAAATCACATGAATGAAGAATAAGGGATGTTCACTGCCCAGATATTTTAGTTCTACCACATCTATATGAAATGTCATTGAGGAACAATTGTCTCTTTAACTATGAGATTGAGGACAGAGGGGATGAGAAATTTTGGATTTGTTGCTGCAAAGATAATTGCTGGCAACTTGTCTAATTATTAAAAAGATTTCCAAACATAACAGAAGAAAACTGGATTTCAAAATACAACAAATAAAGAGATAGTAAATTAAAGGCCTCTGGGTGGCTAGATTAGCAGCTTCTAAGCACAGGCTTGATTTGCAGACTAGTCTGATGTGGAAGGAAAGAAAAAGCATGCTTTCGAAATACTATTTATAAATAAAAAATAAAATAACCTGAAACAACAAAACCAAAGGAATTGCATGAGTTTGTAAGGCAAGGCATGATGCAAAGCACTAGAAGTTACTACAAGAGGAAGACTAAGAATACTATATGGGGCTGAGTGACCTTAGAAAAGGTAAGCATTTGTAAGACCCAAGAAAACTACTACTCACTGCCTATCTTGCTGCTATTTTGTTTAACACACTGAATTAGGACTAAATTGTTTTCAAAACTCAGTAACATTGCTATTAAATAAAAAAAAATCTTTGGCAGAACTCTGGGATGATCCGTCAAAATTATGCTGTACTTCAACATATCAAACTTTTTAGTAAATACAACTTCAATATTTCCCAGAAAACAAGTACTCCAAGACAATTCAAACAAGCTGGGAACACAGACCTTTCCCCACTTTCTCATTAAAATAATAAAAACAAAGTCCAGGCTCCACTGTGGTCTTCAGGCTTAGTCATTAGTTACGTGTGGTTAGGTTTGTAGCCTTAGCTGGCCAGCTGATTGACTAGCAATGACCAAAAGTCCAAGGCTAATAGCAGAGCCACTAGGAAAGGCTGAAGACACTGGGCACATCCCCATTCAACTCAAATGCCATTCTGCTTTGGATTGCAAGCTGAAAATAGCCCAAGTTCAGCCAACCTCCTAATTGCAATTTCCTGACTTTTTTTTTTCTTTTGCTGGCATGCTCATTAATAGATAATGCACTGCTTTAGCTTTAAATGTTCCATTTCCCACCCTATTTCAGTTTTGCTCTGTGAAAGAGTTATCCCCACTCTTGAAGCAGCAAAGCTTTGGGTTTTAGATGACCAATTACAACTAAACACAACAAAACTGGTTAAACTATTTTGCCATGGTGTCCAATGTCCACAAAAAGGACATGCACACTGGAGATACACAGTTGCTTTTTCATGTCAATACAGATTCAATTCCACATGTCTGATGGTGAGAAACCTAATGTGCCATTAAATCCGTCAACAGCTCTGGATTCCCATGACTTCTAACCCATATGTCTGTGGAGAGACATACACAAAACACATTCACAGAATTACATTCAATAGCTGTTTAACAGTCAAGCTGCTTTAGAGATGTTAACCATATTGATTAACCATTTAATCAAACGTAATTGTCAAATTCAATTAGTCTAAATAGAAGGCATGTAAAAGGAAACAGTACAGAAATGTACTGCTTATGAAAAGTTTATAAAAACATATAAAATGCTGGATGGCACAAATAATACAGTGCTAATATAAACATACTGTTTAAGCTAAGTGCTTAACATAAACTGTCCATCCATACATGTAACGAAGAATATTTTAAAGGGAGTAAAAATATTCCCTATAAAAATAATGCTGTATGGGGAGAGAGTGCTTCATTCAGTGTATTTAATGTGACGGGTGTATGGAATTCTACTATCTCCATGAATAGTTCATTTCCCATTGATTCCACTTTATATTCCATCTGAAGGGCAATATTTTGCCACTGATAGTTTAAAGCAAGAACAGATGAAAGCAGGAGCAGCAGCATAATAGGTACCAGCTGGAACAGTGTGCTTGCAGGTATCTTGGATATGTGCTACCTGTTGCCATGATTTGTGCTATCATCGTATTATGGTACCACATTTTTCAACTAAGGTCACTTCACAGGGCAGTTGAGGTAATTTTTTTGACTCCTCTTCGCTGAGCAAGGGTAGAACGGCCCACTGGCTCTAAAACTGGCGACTGATTGCGGTTCAATGCTGAGTATGTAGCAGCCATGGCACCCTAAAAATAAAAAGGTTGAAAAAATAATTGTAATGTGATTCAAAATAAATAAAAGTGATTAGGGGCTATTTTTAGTTTAAACAAGCAGCACATTATAATGTGCAAGTTGACCCACTCTTCACAAATCCAACTTTTTTTTAACACTGAAGCGTCGTTTGCACAGCTCTAGATTTATTTTGTGTCATTTTGGTTCACATTGCCCACAGTGTCTGGGGATATAGTGACTTGAGTTTTCTTTCCCCCGCTACCAATTCCTTTTCCTTTGTGTCTTTTAGATTATAAGCCTAGGGAGAAGGACTCTCTAATCACTCCATGTTCCGTATTCTATTGTGCATTTTTACATTTTGATCCTGCAGGCCAGAGCTGGTGACAAATAGAATAATACAAACTAGGTACATTTTTACATTGTTACTGAATCCACAGACATCTATAACTGAATTGTGATTTAAGCTATAGAGAAGGGAGTCCCCTGTTTAACAGTGTAACGGTTTGTTTCCCCAGTGATGGAAGTACTATTACAGAATTTCAGCAAATCAGTGCTGCAAGTGGTATGTAGCTTCAGAAAATTTAGCAGGCACAAACAACAAAACGGAAGTAGAAACTGCAGTTTAATGGGGCGAGGGGTAGGAATAGTAATGGGACACTCTATGGAATGGAAGTGCAGCCAGTGACAGGGTACTTGGGAAAATGGAAGGATATGCAGGCAGATTGCAAATTTAAAGGGGGGGGGAGATGAAAAAACACAGTTATACAAATGTGTGTTTTTACCTTCACAAGATGTGGAGCATCTTGCCTGTTTAGCTGGAACTGAGGCAACTGGTCACAGTGGACAATCCATGGATGTCTCAAGACCTGGGCAGCAGTCAACCTCTGATGAGGGTCAACATGAAGCATTTTTGAAACCAAGTCCTATTAATAATATAACAGAACTAATTAGGCATGTGTTTTAAGGCTTAAAATATGCAACAAATCTAAGATTTTGAATCTCACAAAACTACATACACTCAGATAAAAATGTTTCAGATTATTCATTTCTCATATTTCCAAATATATTTTCAAATGCTGTAGGGATAAAGGTCTGTTATCAAGAAAGAGGAGCAGGAATTCAGAGAGACTTCTTAAAAACATTTGGAGGATATTAATTTAAATAAATCACCATTCAGCAACATACTAGAGTTCCAATGGTGGTTTGTTTGTTTGTTTGTTTAAGTTGTCCATCACATTTTAAAGACATAGTCTGCAACTTCTATCACTGGAAGGAAATGCATACAGTGGTACCTCGCAAGACGAATGCCTCGCAAGACGGAAAACTCGCAAGACGAAAGAGTTTTCCGTTTTTGAGTCGTTCCGCAAGACGAATTTCCCTATGGGCTTGCTTCGCAAGAAGAAAGCCCATAGGGAAATCTCCGGGGACCTCTTTTAAAATGCTGGCGGTCGGGAGCAAAGACTTTCGCCCACCGCCGGCCTTCAGAAGAGGTCCTGGACCTCTTCTGAAGGCCGGCGGGGGGCAAAAGTCTTTGCTCCCGACCGCCTGCCTTCCCGGGATAGCGGAGAAGCGCAGCGCGTTTCTCCGCTATCCCGACGGCTTTTGAAGGCAGGCGGGGGGGGGAGCAAAGACTTTCGCCCACCGCCGGCCTTCAGAAGAGGTCCTGGACCGCCAGCATTTTAAAATCGCCCCGGGACAGCGGAGACTTTGCTGCCGCCCGCCAGCATTTTAAAATCGCCCCGGGACAGCGGAGAAGTCTCCGCTGTCCCGGGGGCTTTTAAAATGCTGGCGGTCGGCAGCAAAGCCCTCCTGTCCCCGGAGCTTGTGGGGCGGGAGGTGGGGAGAATGGCTTTTCTTTCCACCGCCAGCCTTCAGAACAGCCTTCTGAAGGCTGGCGGTGGGAAGAAAAGCCCTTGTCGTCCCGTCCCCCCCCGGCCTTCAGAAGAGGTCAGGGGACAGACTGTCCCCGGACCTGGTCTGAAGGCGGTTTCCATAGGAACGCATTGATTGATTTTCAATGCATTCCTATGGGAAACCGTGCTTCGCAAGACAAAAAACTCGCAAGAAGAAAAAACTCGCGGAATGAATTAATTTCGTCTTGCGAGGTACCACTGTATTTATAATTTATAAGATTGTAAGATTAGTGACATGCCCCCCAAATATCCTAAGCATGGTCTGTAACTGAGTGGGTGGCAGGGCTGAGAGCATCTTCTGTTTTCAGCAAGCTTTGTCCCTTTTTGCTTAGCTCCTCCTCTCCCCCACCTTCTGCATCTGCAGATAAGGCATCAGTGCATCTGTCTACTGCCTCATATCTTTACCCTGATTGCAAGTACCTCCATCCTCATTAAGTTCTATTCAGCTGAAGACAATTCCTGTGAAAAGCCCACATTTTCCTAATCTTGGAAGAGTGCTTCCCCAATTCTTGCAGCTGTGTACTTCCAAGTGTGTGCATTTACTTCCAAATAAGTGACTTAAAGGGAGGAAACAAATTGTGTCTTCTGACCTCAGTCTCATGTACCATCACATATCATTCCAGAGGAATGCTAGACTCTCAACAGTGGCTTTCAAGGGGTTGCAGGAGTCAAGAATGTGCTGTTTCAGGAGCAGAGTTCTGCTGATCTCTCTCTAGATCTAATGCAAGGGATGGCCATTCGCCTCGTTTCTTTTATCATGGACTTAATTTTACTTAAATGCTCAACTTTGATTATCTACAGTGATGTAGTCTTATAATCACCTAGCTGGTTAAACAATAAATTGTTGACTATTTCAGATGTCGCCATGAAACGTTATACAAAAACACATCTAACATACAACGGATAGAACATATATGCTACCTTTGCTGTATCTGAAACAGAATTCCAGTATCCACCACTGAGAGAGAACTTTCCACTGCCTATTCGTGCCAAAATTTCTTCTGGAGTATCATCAGGACCATTTGCAAATGGAGTGTAGCTAAAAATAATAATAACAATCACAAAGATTTTGAGTTCCTTGTTAACTTCCAGCCACTACAAGTTGCAATGACACTAAAATAGTAATGCATATTCATATTACGGGGAAATTCATGTTAGGAAGTAGCTTGTCATCTTTACTGAATTCAGCAGACTTAGGAAAGTCAGCAGAGGGGCTTTTCGGTAGTGGCACCCACCCTGTGGAACCCCCTCCCATCATCATATGTCAAGGGGATAAGTAACTATACAACCTTTAGAATACATCTGAAGGCAGCCCTGTAACGTTTAATGTTTTATTATGTTTTTGTATACACTGGAAGCCACCGAGAGTGACTGGAGCAACCCAGTCAGATGGACAGGGCAGAAATAAAAAAGTTACTAATTTTATATAGAAAATACTGAAACCTATTCAGTATTGCTATTAGCCCTGCAGCTTCATCTCTCATCACCACTATCTGCCTCCTGAATGAATGACTGGGGAGAAGGAACAAGAAGGCACAGCAGAACAACGGGGCAAGGGGACATGAGCAGATCTCAAGGTAACAGAGTAGGACAGAGTATATACACAGGCAATACCTTGTGAACACAAGAGAATATCAACTTAGTTTTGAAATTCTGAGATGAAAAGCTACAAGAACCTCTAATCCACTTTTACAAATTAATGTAACAATTTCCAATTTAGAACCTACAAACATACCCAGTCAGCATTGTATAAAGCAGAACACCAAGACTCCATATGTCACATGCAGCATCATAGCCTTGCCTTTTTAAAACCTATGGAAAGCAATGTTTTCATTAGTTTCTGAAGAAAAAGCCAATTCCTTTGGTTATGAAAAATGGGTGGAATCCAATGCAGCACAAGCAGGCATCCACTCATCAACAGTTTTTCTTCTACCCCTCTTCTTTCCCCACAGTCTCCTGCACACACCCAACATCTGCTCCAGAGGGTGGGTGACCCTCCAGAACAGATTTATTATTACCTAAAATGTGCAAGTATTGAAGGAGTGAGCATCTTCTATTATACATTTAAGAAAAAATGTGTGAGTTATTTAAAAAGTCACTCCACTGAAGCAAGCACACAGGGTGAAGACAATTCCACTGTACGGCCACCACAGGACTGTTTCAAAAAGAAATATGAAACAGGAAAATTCTGTTCAAGTAAAATAAGAACCCTCAAAAGACTACATCAGTATAGAAGTACACTGAAAGGGGGAGGAACTATATTGTTTCTGCTTAATAACTATGAGGTAAACAAAGCATTAAATCATTTGTGCACCACTTGATGTATCAACAGTCTCAAAACTCTTAAAAAGAGGGGGCAGGAATGCCTTGTGTTCTACCTCTAACTCTGAAAAGCACTGTGGCTTGCCCAGCCCAATATATAGGGCCAAAACGGAAGCCCAGGACACATGTAACTTTACCCAAGTTAAGGAATCAGAAGCAGGTCATAAGACTGCACACTCTCACCTCCACACCAAAGAACTATACTGATAGTTACCTCAGGAGCAACAAAATTTGCTGTGTAACAAGGAGTCATTAGAAGGCCATTTTCTGCTCTCAGCTGCTTTGCAAAGCCAAAGTCACAAATTCGAATAGATTCCGGATTGCCAGATTCATCAACATAAAGGATGTTGCTAGGTTTCAAGTCTCTGTGTACAACCTAAACCAACCAAACAAACATGGCTGTTGTTTCTATTAAAAGCATGGAATTCTTATTTTGTATGTCCTTCCACATTTAAAAAGAATATAATGTATCCAATATCAACATCCCTTTACTGCAAAATAAATTAATTGAGCATAGTCTATCATTTTGGGTCATATATATATATATATATATACACACACACACACATGAGTATTCATTCTTACGAGTTAATTATCCATAAGGTACTTGTATGCTTGCTCTTATTCACCATATCTACTGAAAAGTTATGAACTGGCTCTTGGGTTCCTATTTACACAAACTAACAAACTATTGCAAACTAGCATCTAATTAGTTAATGCTTACAGATCAGATGGGAGAATTTAAAATAAAATGAAAGCTTTAAGAGCTGTAACAATGGAATAACTTATCTACTGTATTAACTAGGTAGTGCATTTTAAATATATCTCTCAAGAACGCAGACTTACTCCTTGTGCATGAAGATATTCAACAGTTTTTGTTATTGTCAGTAGAACAGCACTGGCTTCTCTTTCTGAAAAAAATTTTTGCCTAAGGATTTTGTCCAACAGCTCTCCTCCTTTCATAAGTTCTGTTACCAGGTACACACATTTCCCATCATCGTACACCTGAAAAGTGTAACACATTATTTAAGTGCTCAATTGTGCACAGAGTTGTATTCAACATTAGTCATACTCTGAGTACACCCACTGAAAGTCTTCATTCCACTAACCCAGCAAGTGCATTTGCAGACTCCTAATGAAAGGGACGCGGGTGGCGCTGTGGGTAAAAGCCTCAGCACCTAGGGCTTGCCGATCGAAAGGTCGGCGGTTCGAATCCCCGCGGCGGGGTGCGCTCCCGTTGCTCGGTCCCAGCGCCTGCCAACCTAGCAGTTCGAAAACACCCCTGGGTGCAAGTAGATAAATAGGGACCGCTTTCTAGCGGGAAGGTAAACGGCGTTTCCGTGTGCGGCTCTGGCTCGCCAGAGCAGCGATGTCACGCTGGCCACGTGACCCGGAAGTGTCTTCGGACAGCGCTGGCCCCCGGCCTCTTGAGTGAGATGGGCGCACAACCCTAGAGTCTGTCAAGACTGGCCCGTACGGGCAGGGGTACCTTTACCTTTTAATGAAAGATTAAATACTGTACATGTCAAAAGCATCATATTTATGCCTGAATTGCAATAAAGCTGCTAATCATCTACTTACATCTTTGAGAGTAATAATATTTGGATGCTGTCCGTATCGTAGTAGGATTTCTATTTCTTCTGTGGGATCTCTTTTACTCTTGTCTATTATCTAAAACAGCAAACATATTTGAACCAATAACTATATTATTAACTCAGTTTTCCCAATGTCAATATTGTTTCATACCTACAACCACTGTTTTAAGTCTCTCAGAGGATTTGAAACAGCATTTTTGTGTGAAGAGCCACCCTTCTTCAAACCAGTTTTCCTTCTAAGCTCATAACACTTTCATTAATTGGGTGTTTGCAGATTTCTGCTTTTCCAGTTCCTCAATCTCCTTTAGCTGCCAAAGCCACCTCACTACAAGCCTATAACAGTCTCCCCTCATCTTAACCTATAGCCCTCAAAGTGCTTCTCAGCCTCCGTTACCCAATTACCTCAGTGCACTGAGAATGTGCTAACATTATGGATGCTTGAAACAATTAATTACCTTTACTGCATATTCCATATTTGTTGCTTTATGTATACATCTCTTGCACACCGAATAGGAGCCAACTCCTATATCTTGTTTGACTTCATATCCATCAGTAAACTGAATGCTGTTCCTGTGTAACTGCTACCAAAATAACATAATCAATTAATGCATTCTTTACAAATATCCAATTTAGATCTTTATATTTTAGAACAAATCTTTATCAGTAATGAATTGTTTGTACAACTAATAATATTGAACTTTTAAAAGGAAGCATTTTCCACTCTGATTTTCACATCTTCTCCAACCTAAATAATATGTTCAAACACACTGAATAGTGTGGAAAGACACAAACGGCTGGTTTTCATATTACCCCTTGGTTCAGCATATAGTTCATTTGCTCCTTCCTTTACATGTGTGGGGCAACAAGCAAGGAAGCTGCAATCAAAACTAGGAACTATGCTTAATCGCTTCCAAACAAGCTGGAATATAGAAGTTAACTTTAAACCATTGCTACATAGTCTGGCTTCTATGGAAGCCATTAAACAGTTTTCCACTGTAGCCTCTGCACACAACACTAATTCATGGTTTTAGGCAACCTTCACAAACCTGGTCCCCTCCATTTGTTTTGAACTACAGTATCTAGAGGACACCAGCTTGCCAAAGGCTTGTTTAAGGTTATGTGCCCCAAAGCATTATTAACTGATAATTTTTATTTTCTGAATAAAATGTCTCAAATTGGACATAACGAAAAGGCAAATAAAATGTTTAATAACACATGCAAAGTAGAACTGGTCTGTTATGAGCACGTAAGTAGTGAAAGCTATTCAAATTAAACTGATAGAGCCAAAAACAAGGACAGAATATGAGAGAGAAAAAGCAGTCTACTTGTTTATTTTGCATGTGGAAAAAACTTCAAGACATTAAGTAGCTTGAGCTCTTGAGATACAGCAAGCTACAGATAACAAAAACAAAAAGAGATTAATGTCACAGAAATACTTCCATGGCCTTCTGCACAGCAAGGACCTTTTCCTCATGCAAACCAGTAATATAATCAGCTTGAGGAAGAAATCCATCCACTTCCAAATATCATTTTCTGCATGTGGAAATCCTTCAATAAGATATATGTGAAACTTGATTATCTATCCTTTGGGCACAGCTTGTGCATACATATTGTGCAAGCAATATCTGATCTCCTTGCAGGCCCCTAAATACCAGCCAATGCGAATAGTTAACTTCATAATGACCATTCACCTGAACAATCGAGTGCCCAACAGATGTCTGCATTGCTTGACTTTCATCATCGGTTGCAATAGCTACAAAACTGAAGCCCCGAAAAAGTTGGTGAGCATTAGCACTAGGTGGAATACCAGGTGAATCTGGGGAAAAAATATTTTATTTTATTTAAGATATTCCTCTTCTAGAAATATTTCACAAAAATGCCTAAGGCAGTTTGCACAAAAAGCTGCATTTCAAATTATGATCAGAACAAAACAACAATATGACAGGCAACAAAGATCGGAATATTTAAAAAAGCGGCACACCATTTTAGTCAGTTGTCAGGTCAAATACATGATGGAACAACCCAGTCATCATATCGTGCTGGAAGGTAACAGCAAGGGATAGGCCTCTCTATCTAAAAACTGAGTCCCAGGAATGGTAACTGAAGAGGCCATCTTCCCTATCCCAACCAAATGCAACACCGATTTTGGTAGAACATGAAGGACACAAGATCTTGGCAAGAAAGACCTGCTGCATACTCAAGTCAGATTAAAAGGACACCTATGTGTCAGGTAACACAAAACCAAGGGAGTAACACAAAATTGAGGTTGTTCGCCTGTTTCTCATGTATAGCAACTGTGTGACTGATTTATTTCATTTGTATACCCTAGACTCATAAAAGTTAAAAATGATGCATGTGATTAAGATTAAAACTGTAACTTTCCCAAACCACCTGAGAAAACAGTGTATATATCTACCTTTTGGAGTTTTTGCTGTAAATTCAGGATCAAAATAAAATGTGTCTTCAGGTCTACCAGTTGCTGGTTTAAATGGTGGATTAATTTCTCTTCTGTACAATTTCTAAGACAAATACATTTAACACGTTAGAAAGCTGTAACACAATTAACATGAAATGTTGTAATTGTGTTTTACTCCGTTGTGTGTACTTACATTCCAGTCTATTGTGGAGAAAAATGGATGCCTCTTAATTTCCTCAACTCCATCAGGACCTGCACCTATCCGAGGTCAGCAATGAACATAACAGCAGATATATTAGGGATTTGTTTAGCTTAATGTTGAAGTATGCAGTAGATAACTTAATTAAATTCTTTACCTAATCTGTTTGCAGGGTTTCTCTTGAAAAGCATTCGGAGAAGACTCTGAGCTTCTGGACTTAAAAACTGAGGCATTCCAAGTTTGGCTCTGTACAATAAAAACACATTAACCGTATACAAAGTTTATAGAAATGCCACGTTCATTTGTTTTAAACTCAACACTTGGTGAACAGCAAATGCTGCACAAGCAGGCTTCCCCTTCTGCAATGGCGCATCCCCCTTTCCTCCCCTCTCCCTGAAGCCTTCCCTGTGCCTCCAAATTCTGCTCCAGAGGGTTGGAGGATCCTCAAAAGTACACCAGGTGAAAAGTGGGGGTGGGCGACAGGGGAAAGGAAACAAGGGGAAGTCTGTTGCACAACTGGGTGGAAACTACTAGCTGTCATTCCTGCCTGAAAATAAAGTAGGTGAAAACACACAAAAAGGCCCAAATGTTGCTTCCACACAAAAATTCCTATTCCAACTGTGCGATCCTGGAACTTCAGAAACTAAACATAATGGAAAATTATGGAAAGGAAACACAAATATTGTATTTCATTGCCATCTATGGTCTCTCTTAATTGAATTTTTCACATGCATTGGTAGGGTTGTGTATATCCAGCAGCCTAAAAATCTCTCTCTTTTTTTAGCATGATAGCAATGCCAGTAAAGCCAAAGGAGGAATTAGTAAGAGATCAGAACGCCTAAGATCAGTCCTCAGTACTCATGCTTCTGCTAACTTTCACATGTACTTTCCACTCTTCATTTCAGTAACTGGAATTCATAAACAGAAAAGGAACTACAGCAATGCTTTAATAGGCCACACTCAATGTAAAAGGTACTATGATGGAAGACATTCTTGTTTAATCCGTTAATCCTGTTCCCTGAAACCAGTGAGGTAAACTGCCTGGATCACTGCAAACCAACTGGGAAAGGCTAACTGGTTCTTCTGTAACTAAATGAGAATCATTTCCTGGAACAGTTTCTGCAGGAATTCCATTGGTTTGCATCTAGCAAAGAGACACTGATTAATTTTAGCTCAACTAACTAGAAACACACAATGTCCTTGGAATGTTATGATTAACCACTTCGCGTTACAGCAGATTCTTCTGAAAATATTTGATTCATAACCGGTTACTGTTGAGCAAAACACAACCCTGCTCCAACCAGAAACTTTCTAGATTATACAGCTGCATGAATGAGAGCCATCTTGTTTCTTTTTTGACAGTTATATACAAAAACATGCCTTGATAATTTAGGACAAAATAGACACAGAAAATCTGTCTTTGATTCAGGCTGATCATGGCTAAAGAAACCAAAGATATAAACTGTGGAATAAAATGATAATATCAGTAGAGGGGGAACAGACAGACTAAATATGAAATACAATCACAAGTTTATAAATTATAAAAAACCAGACCCCTTATGGAGAATTAAGTCTAGCGCCATGCAAAAGTACTGGGTGGTATTCAACCACATTTTACTCACTGTAGACCCATAGAAATTAACAAACATGACTAATTTAGGCCCACTAATTTCATTGAGTTTACTCTGAGTAAAACAAAGCTGAATACTATCCTCTGCCTTTACCACAGGAGTGGTAGCTAAGACATAGTGACCAAGAAAGTATGAGAGTGTATATACATAGCAAAGACCAAAAGACATTCAAGTTGCTTCAGAAGTATAACAATAGTAGTCAGATATAGATCTATTATATGACCAAGTCTGATATATTGATATATGACTACAGCCAACCTAGGCTATAGGTATATTCCACAGTATCAAATTTTGTATCCAGATTGAAAAATAAAAAATGCATTAAGTATACCAGAGGTATACTGTAGCTGGATAATAATCTACAATGCAAGCCTTAATTTCACCCACTTGTCAGGTGTGTTAGAATTAAATCAGTATGCATGCAAGGATAAGGATAGGTTTCAGAAACAGGAGAGGCACCGGAAGGACAAATGGTTTATAACAGTAGTAACGAAAAGGGAACGTTAAGACATTTTTCCACTAGAATTTTCAGGATGGTGAAAATAATAACAGATCAAGGAGAATATAATTTGGTAACTTTTAAAGGAGATAATGGGACTGCAAATACATTATTATGTATTAGAGAAGTACTGGACTAAGTGTCCGTACAGCTTTTGATAGGAAGGACAGTAGAGTGGAAAAGGACATTAGCAGGATGCATTATGGAGTCAGGATATAAAACGAGGGAATAGTAGAAATTAGAGATTGCAGCATGGAGGGCATCCCCAGTAGAATACCTGATGAGATATACGTATAATAAGAGTGTACTCACTTGAGAATCAGTGTCATGGTTTCTTTTCTGTCTTTCCCTTGGAAAGGTAGAGTACCAGTGAGCATTTCAAACTGTATAAAGTAAAACTTCCATCAATCATATTAAAAGACCAGGTAATTTCTTTTCAACATCACATTTGATTGTTGTAACCCACCCTGGGACCTTAGGGTGAAAGGTGGGAAATAAGTAATAACAGCAACAACCACCTCCCTCTCTTTGACAAAACTAGTAGAACCTTGTTTATAAAACAAATTGTGCATACCAACCAATAACTCTGCATAATAATGTTCTGCAGCATAACTTTTTACATTTTCAGGAGTTTAACACATCTACCTTTGATGCAGTCAGTGCATGTTAACCTAATTCAGATGCTAGTATCTAGTTGTACATTTCAACATCTAATGTGCGTTTGAAGCTAAAAATAAAAAGGCTGCTATTTTGAATAAAGCACACTTTTCATTTTGTCTACTTGTAAGAAAATATTGCTGTTGTCTTAAATCTGAGCAAACACAAACTTTGTATGTGATTTATGAAAAAATATCTACTCTTGATAGCTCAGTTGGTAGAACATGAGACTCTTCATCTCCGGGTTGTGCATTTGAGCCCCATGTTGAGCCCCATGTATTACTGCACTACAGGAAGTTGGGCTAAATGACCCTCATGGTCCCTTCCAACTCTACAATTCTCCAATATAAAAAATGTGCTTGTGTTAACACCCACAGAGTTAAGTGTACATCAGTAGGTTATAACAAGTCTTTTATTCTGTAAGGGTCAATAAAAAGGCTGCTTACTACTCTATATTTCTTCTAATCATTAGGTGTATCTTAAATTATTTTGGGTTCTAAGTTTCTCAGAACTGATCTATTTAATCTAACTGAGAGCAAGACTCAGGAACTTATGCTTCCTTTTAGTAGCCTTGCCTCCCATGCCACTTAACTAGGGTTAAGTAGCATGTTAGAACTAATATTAACCATGGTGTTCCTTAACCCAGAGTCTAAAATTGTGGCCCTTAAAACTGCATCAAAGTTAACTTTCAAATAAGAGTACAGAACATTTCTGTCAAACAAATTTATCTGTAATGTAATTAAGGAAGTATTATTGAATTGCATCCAACTAAGAAACAATGTAAAAGTAAGGGACAACAGTGTACAGCGGGTCCGCAACTTAAAATCACTTTACTTATGAAATCGCAACCTTACACGGGTAGGGTGGGGCAATAAATTGGAAAATGGAGAGCGGGGGAAACCTGCCGTTCCCCAATCTTCATTTATTTCCGCTACCCACCCGCCTGCGCTCCCAGCAGGCTTTCCTGCTGTGGAAAGTGTTTTTTAAGCCCTCCACCTCACTTATTGGGCTCTCGGAAGGTGGTGGGAGGGCTCCAGGAGCATTCCTTTGGCTCTCCCATGAGCTTCCCAGAGCCTGGTAAGCAACCCCTCACAGGGGCTGGTTCCGAGGGTTCCTGACTTTGTGCAGTTTTGAATTTGCCTTTCCATGTAGACCCCCAGAACCGAACCCTCATGTAAGTGGTAGGCCCACTGTATTGCAAAATATCATTTCAGTTTGCTATCACATATACGTATAGGGCAAAATTCACCTAACAAACCTGGCCCAAGGGCTTCTGTTGCACAAGAGGGCTTTCCCCTCCCCCTATGTGGCCCCACCTCCTGAAATTGGCTCGGGAAGGGGCGTTGGGAGAACCTCCAGAACAGCATGTGGGGAGAGGGGAAATTGTTCCATCTAGAAACTGATATGTTTGAAAGGAAGGATCATTCAACACAGCATGGTGTTGAATTCCACCCTTAAAAACAAAACCAAGTTGCTTAAAATACTGTACAAAAAATAAAACCTGCCCTCTGCTTTTTCAACTGGCTGATCTGCAAAGATTCCACTTAAGGAATGTATTTGTCCCTATGGACCCAGGTAGAAAGAATCTGTGGGTCACTTTTTTGAACTGCAAGTTGTACAAGGTGCCCAGGGAGGACAGATTCTTTTTTTTAGTTACTCTAGGTGGATGACTTGCTGCAATTCTGATCTATTACTGTTTAAATGGCGAGTCTCAGGAAAAGTTAGTGATAAGATAGCTGAGTACTTTCTATCCTCAGTAATATTAAAACTTACAATAAAGTAAGAAGTATTTTTTGGTGAATCTATCTGTTATTCTTACTATGCAATTGTATCAACTTCTACAGGATCTACTTCTTGCATCAACCTTTTATAACTGGGGAAAAAAATCAAAGCTATTCTTTTGTAAATAATGTGTTGCATTTTTAACAATCTCAGTTTTGCTTTAAAACATTTGATAGGAAGCTTAAATTAAAATCATTTTGTAATATGTTGTGGTTTTTAAGATTTATATTATTTATAGTTTTGTCTGACCAGGGATTACTTCTCTTTGTTGTCTTGATTGCATTCAACTATAGATACTGGCAGAAATAATCCATCATAGTCTTATGGTATTTATTCCCCTATGAAATACTGTAACCAAAATATTGTAGAACCCAGTGATGGCTTTGGAAATTTCAGACAAGAGTGACAGAAGCAGCTTCAGCTACTTGTCCTGGTTTTTAATTTTTTTGTGTTTGATGAAAAAAGGTTGTGGATAAGGAGCTGCAGATCTTTTTCAGAATGAAATACCGTATTTTCCCATCTATAAGATGCCCCCATGTATAAGACTATTTGGGGGGACTCATATTTAAGAAAATTGGGGGAAATGGCCCAGTGGATAAGACACCCCCTAATTTTTGACATTATTTTTTAGGGGGAAAAACTAGTCTTATACATGGAAAAATACAGTAATACTACCACTGAACGCATGAAGTTCTTCTCTTCACTACTATTTTCTGGACTAGAAACTGCTACCTCTGAATTATTTACATTTAAAATGAATGAAATTTACCCCCAAGTAAATGAGCCAAGGATCGGGGATCAAGAGACTCTACCACCACTTTCAGTTCATCGGAAACCTACCATTAACACTCCAAAAGACCACCAGTCTGCACTCTGTGTATGCCCCCGCCGATTAACCACTTCCGGAGCCATATATTCTACTGTTCCACAGAAGGAATACGCTTTTTTCTCGTGATCAATAGACTCCTTGCTTAAACCAAAATCTGGAGAAAGAAAGCACAATGAATTTAGTAATCTTATGAGAATACGCAAAGTTTTGAAAACAGGTTCTTTATACTTTGCATGTGTTTCACCAGCACAATTTCATTTCCCCTCTCTAGTGCTGTTTACCACACTAAAAGAAAACTATCTACAAATTATTTATGTAGCAGAAGTTTGATTTACTTACCTGTCAATTTAATATGTCCTTCTTCATCAAGTAATATGCTATAAAAAAGATAAAGCTTGTTTGAAACATGGTTATGTTGATTTTCCTTACAACAAATAATGACTGTCAGAGAGCATACTGGGAGGATTAAAAATCTAGAGAGAGAATATGGTATTTCTATCATATTCAAAATAAAAGGTTCTTACTTTTCTGGTTTTAGATCTCTGTATATTATTCCAAGACTATGCAGATGATCTAAAGCAAGTGCTAATTCAGCCAGGTAGAATTTGACGTCCTCTTCTGTGAACATCACCTAGAAGAGAAAATGCATAATGCTTGTCTAAAGTTAATACAGAGCAAACAGTTTAGAAAAGACTGGAGAGTCCCCCCCCCAGTTTAAACTTAAATTGAAAACTAAAAATTATATAAGTGTTTATATTTGTGTATATAAACATGTTTATAAAAGTCAGTTGCACTGTCAAGTAAGTGCATATTAATGCAACAGACTTTGAATTCTGATGGGTGCATTTCTAGATCAGCTGTCTAAGGGTAATTCAGCAGTACACTTGTTACATCTCTATTCCCCCACTCCCCACTCTCCAAAATGTTTAAGATTTAAGTGTGGAAAGCAAAGGGGAAGATAGAAGAGACAGAAGAGAAGAGATATATGAAGATAGACCACGCAGTGTAAAGTAACTTAGATTCACTGGTACAATTAATGAAGAAATCATGGCAAATATTTCCCTGAACATTTGAGCACATTCCATAAAATAAACACAACCTCTATTAATATAATTCAGAATTGTGACAACAATATATGAAACATTTACCTCTTTGGATAAGCGTGTAAACAAGTCTCCTCCTCTGAGAAAGTCTAAAATAAGGTATAGTTTCCCTTCTGTTTGAAAAGCTGAGGGGGAAATCAAAATTATTTTAATAAAAGTATTATGTTCTTGGGTATGTAGGTACTTATTGACTGTTACTATTATTGGAAAGATATTGTTTTATCATGCTGGATCATTGAAAAGTTCATTCAAGAAAGTATTAAAATGCAATGCTGCACCCTAGCTATTACTATGTTCTATGATTTTTCAAACAACATTAAAATGAGCATCTTTGCTTATTATACATTATGGACAGAGCCACAGAAAGGTTTTAGATCTAGCTGTGGTATCTCTTGATGAAAGAAGAAGGGATGCAAATTTTTCCAGTTCTCTCTATTGCCCACAACTGACATGCCACCATCCACACTGATCTGGAGGAGTCCCCAACTTTCTGAAGCTGACACTGGTGGGGGGGGGTGGCACTGGCCACTGCAGGGGCACAAGGAAATCAGCAAAAAATACCTCCCTCCATCTTCCATTAGGGGACACCCTCCACTGGATTAAAAGCTCTTCCACGAGCACAAAGTTATCAGCTGTATTCTACTCTATACAGTGTGTATCATATTTGTAGCATACAGATCAAAACTAGCACGCAAAGCAATTTTTATCTTGGCCACAGCAACGTTAAGATTCATATGTATTTTATGCATTCAAAAAAGTTTTTAGAAGTTATGAGATATTTGACGCTTTAATGCAAAACTGCCCTGTGTTTTGTATGTACTATGCAAGTGATAGGTATTGAAGAAAATAGACACTGTGCACATTTTGTATGTGGAAGTGTAAGGATTCTGTCAAGTTGCTTTTGAGGTTATTTTTTTTAGGAGAAAATTACTTCTTCTGCTCACCCCACCCCTATGACCTCAGATTGCCAAAGCACATGTTATCCAGACTTCTGAAACTTTAAACTGCTGGACAGTGCCAAATTTATTATAGATCTGGCCACTTGTAACTTACATTCAGCAACAAGAAAGTTCCAGATCACTCACTGGAGAACAGCATCAAAGCTTTAATTGCCTCAGAGATATGCAAAATGCAAAGCATCCCTTTAAAAACAGGACTGGGTAAATCTCAGGTAAATAAAACCTAAGTATGTTCTGTTCTGCCCAATGCTTATAAAGAAAGTATAGCTGACATATTCTATAACAGAGTATTTCTTTTTCTTTCTTATATTAATTAAATAAACTGCCAAAACAGTACTGAAATCACTAAATTGTTCAAAAGCTGAAAATGAATCCTTAGGGAGGTAAATTAGTTTAAACTAACAACATCATCGTATATTTATATGAGGCCTTTCCATAGTCATGCCACATTACATCATGAAAATATTTACTTAACTAAAAATATATTAAAATTTAACACTAGGGAAGTTAAAGGAATGTCAAAAATTACATTTGTTCAGAAACTGATCTTTACTGATGGATCAAGCTTCAAAATGTAGCATTTGTCTTTTTGTGACTTTCTGCAATGAATAGTATGGATGAAATCTCTTATACAATTAACTGCTTTAACAAATGCCAGTTATGCAAACTGACTTGTACAGGAGTACAAGATGGTAGGTTGGGTCTCAACAGAACTTGCTATATTTTATTTGAAGGTATCAGGATTTTATAAATGGCAAATACGTATGAAATATCATAGTTACCAGTAACTAGCAATATTTACTTCAGCAATTTAGGATGCTTATTAAACTTACCGTAATGCAACTTGACAATAAAGGGATGATTAACCTCTACTAAAATGTCACGCTCCATTTTTGTCCGAACACGATCGCGAACTATAAGAGATGTTGACCAACATTTAGTGCAAATGAATACTACCCACTTAATTATGTATATGGACTATCGTTTTTCAGTTTTATATCCATTATATGTGGACGCAATGTCAAAGTTTTCAAGAATCATTTTCACTGTACAAAATGTAATGAAAAATAAAGCTTTAAGAGTGCAATGATATGGATCAAAAAGTGGCTTGTGCCAATGGAAAGGCACTTCCGTTGTGTGAGGAAGTATTACAAAATTCTCTCAAGTCCACATCCTGCTGGAGCCCCCATGCCCAGTTCCAGGTGGTCCCTCAACCTTTATGAGCGGATTGTGGGGAATAGAGGGGTGTAGTATGGAGGTGCCAGGAAGGCCCCATTGTGTTAGCAGAGTTATACTCTCACCTCTCTAGAACCAAATTTATAAATACAATTTTGGAATCTGAGCAGGAAAAACATTGGACTTGCCTATGCTCATATCCCCCTGCTGCATAGACCCTGGCTTACCTGAGTCAACAATCATACCAAAGTACCAGGGGTTGAATATATATGTACTGTAGGGTACTTTACTGTAGCTCTCAAGGACTTTCTTCTCAATTTCTAGCATATTTTCCAAAAAGGGTGATCACCATAATTTTACTCCAGTGTCTAAGTATTGATGGAAGGATTTGTAGTATATATTATTCAACAACTAGCAAATTCATCACCCTGACAATTTTCCATTGTCTGTCGCTAAATACATACTATGCAATAAAAAACTTGCAAAAAGAAATCAGGCATCTGTTGCATAAAGCAAGAGTACTGAATTTACATTATGAGTATTCTAAAACCGAAGCCAAGAAACTAAGTGCATTCAAATTCTATTTGCTCTATTTACAATTATTGTTTCTAAGCACTCATTCTAGCAAAACCATCAAGATGTGAACATAGTCCACATGAAGATGCCTGTAAAACTGTTGCACCGGGAAAATATTCGGTGCCATACACCCTATGTTATGGTGGATATGTATTTTTAGCCTCCAAACGCAGGCTATATTCATGTATAGCCCAACCCTAAGATTAACATTATTACTAATAATTTATTACTTATTATTAAATTTGTATACCACCCTATACCTGCAGATCTCTGGACTGTTCACAACCATAAAGTATCAGTGAACCAAACAGGTCTTATTTCCCAGCAAACATGCATAGCAAAATGTTTAGAAGCATTAATAATGTAAAAAAAAAGTACAAGAAAAAGAGCTAATAAGCAAAACCCATGACAAATAGGTGATTGAAAAAGACACCACTGTGTGTAAATTTAGATGCAGAGTCATCTAAATTTAGGTGCAGATTCCAGGGAACAAAAGCAAGGTTGTCTAAATATGAGCAAGTATCAAGTGCATGAAAGTGCCTCAATGGGTTCCAACTTTTTCACATATGCAGTTACTTTTCAAAATCTCATTCTTGATGGGGCTATATAAATAATTAAATATATATATATATTCCAGTTGGATTGTATTGCCCTGAATATATGAAGTGCTCTCATTTTTAAAGGGTACGGGGTTAAAGTTCTCCCAAGATTATGTAGAAGCTCAGCCATCAAGTCAACATTAGAAAATGCAATTGTTTGAATTCTTAGTTCCTGTAGTCCTTCATCGCACAACTGCCAGATTCAGACAGACAGACAGACAAAAGGATTTTTCTAGCACCTTCCTTTTACTATCAGCTCCTCCACCACATCTCATTGCACTGCCAGTCTCTTGCAACAATGTTTCAATATATTATTCTTAAAACAATTATATTTAAAGAAATCATGTAATTTACCCTTGAGTGTTGCTTTTTTTAGCACCTTCATTGCATACAGCTGTCTTGCATCTGATCCTGAGATTTTTTTTACAAGGAATACCTGTATTAAACACATGAAACAATTCTATTACAAAGATCCAACACACATTGAACAGACCCAGGGTAAGAACATATCTGTGCACATACAGAAACATCAATCTCACATACCCATGCATGCTTGCACGCGTGAACGCCTGTCATATCTCGAGTCCCAATATGTAATATCTCTAATCTTTATCCTTGATTTTGAGAGCATCTATGCTACACAAACATACCTTTGTTAAATGAATGCAAACAGTAAGGTAGGCATTATTCCACTTCTCACACAATTCCACTTCTCTACATACTTTTAAAAAGCTGCATGTGAATATGACTCCGGCCCCAATTATATAAAAACAGGTGCACTTTCAGTATAATTTCACATTCCTAACTCACTAAGTATTTCACTTGTTACAGCAAGTCTACTGGACTAGAAGGAGGGTACACTTCCTACCAGTAATTTACAGAAACCAAGTGCAAGGAGCAGAGGAAATTGGATGCCAATGTCATAAGTAAAATTGAACAGTCTTTTATCAAACCAAATTCCTTGAAAGGGGAACAGCAGTGAATAACAGAGCAAGCCAAACCCTGGCCGGAGAGTTGCAGAGTCACTGCTACATCTGCAGCCTCATTGCTCATGCTGGTCAGGGCAAAAGCACAGCCGTCTGGCTAGATATCATCAAGTGATGGGAGTGGAGATGGCTCAGGATCCAGGGAATCCCTATCAGTTCAGCCACTTGCCCTCCCTGGAATACTCCACTTACAGACATCTCACAGCTTACAACAAGTCAGAAGTTTGTTGGGGGGTGAACAGGAAGCCCAGCATCAGTGAAGGTGTTGCGGGCTGAGGGAGAATCTCTGCCCAGCTCACCCCCCCCCCGCCCCCGTGGCAGGTCAGAGACTTAGACTGAGCCCTTAGTCAAGAGGAGTTTATTTAAAGACGGCCACTCAGACCTTTTTTGCATTTAAATGTTGAATGAAGAAAATGTGTTGTTGTAAAATACAGTGATACCTCGGGTTGCAGAAGCTTCAGGTTACAGACTCTGCCAACCCAGAAATAGTACCTCGGATTAAGAACTTTGCTTCAGGATGAGAACAGAAATCGGGCTCCGGCGGCGCGGCAGCAGCGGGAGGCCCCATTAGCTAAAGTGGTGCTTCAGGTTAAGAACAGTTTCAGGTTAAGAACGGAACTCTGGAATGGATTAATTTCTTAACCAGAGGTACCACTGTGCTCATCTTTGGCCACAGAATTCTGTGAGTGGTAGTTAGCTCAGCTGGTTAGAGTGTGGTGCTGATAATGCCAAGGTCACAAGTTCAATCCCCATAGGGACTACCTGCATGTTCCTGCAGTTCAAGGGGCTAGACTAGATGACCCTTGGGGTCCCTTCAAACCCTACAATACTTTTATACTACACAAAGCTCAGTAGAATATTTGCACAGTTGAGGGGAAAATTTATGTCAAGCGTCTAGCTCTGAAAAAGAAAATCAACACCACATACTACCATGGCAATCCTAGAAATATGCCTTAGTTCAAGAGATGCAAGTTTCCTTCCAATTGTGTCAAAGTATTAAAATAGGTAACTAAAACAAATTTCATTTTGCTCAGAGACCAATGCTTTTAGTTGCTTTAATGCTGATGGACGTAGGTCAAGAATATATAGGTTTTCGTCACTGACACATTGAAGACTCTGTCAAAATATGAACTAGATACAAAATATATGCATACTTTAATTCATCCTTGAAAAGATATAGGGTGAGGCTGGATTCTAGTGATATTCAGAGTAGACCAACCAGAATTATTTCAGTGGGTTTACACTGAGAATGACTAAAACTGAATATCCCTCCACAGCATAAATATTAAGGTGATCTAGTGAAAAATATGTTTAATTTATACTGTTCACTGAAAAAATATGACAATAAGTATTCCTGCATATATGAATGTGAGCTAGGGCAGCAAACTAGGAGACAATTAAGGAGATTAGAACAAAAGATTCAAGAGGTGGTATTACAGAAACAGAGCATCTATTTTGGGAATTCTGGTTAGTGCTGGCTCAGGCAAGCCATCTGAGCACCATGACAGCTGGTATCAATTCCAGAGGTCCGTCTTACCTTTCCAAAAGACCCCTGTCCTAGCACTTTAAGGAGTTCAAATTGTGAAGGGTCTGCTTTTTCATGTCCTTCCTTGACGTGATATGTTATTGCAATCTCTTTAATATTGCCTTCTTCCTGCAAAGAAAACAAGAATAAAACTCTCATTTTTATGTTTGGAATTCATGCCTGGAATATTCATCCTAGGCTGGTATTTAACTATTCACAGATGAAAGCAATTGTAATGGATAAAAGCCAACAAAGAAAAATATATATTCATTAAGTCCAATGTTGGTACCACTAGGAAAAACAGGAATGTAGAATTTCCACAAAAGTTTGGTTTACTTCATGCTTGGGAAAACCACCAACTGAGGAATGAAAGATACCAAACTGCCAGATTTTTATAGAGTAGGGAAATACAAAATAACAGAAGGAAGCTTAGTTATGAACAGTTTCTTTTTTTCCAAATTAAGAAAATAAAAAGCGGAAAATAGTCATCTGGCATATTCAGCTACCTAGTAAAAATACTAAGTTTAGGTCATTATCGTATGCCACTTTTTAAATGTTTCTTCAACATTTTGCTTGTTTCTCGATATAGCATGTAGTCAGTACAGGAACAGCTCTAGTCACTCTTCAACATCGCAGCTTCAGCTGTCTTGTCTAAGAGCTAATTCACACTTTATAAAAAAAGGGGAGAAAGCGGGAGAAAAGTGACTCACTTCTGCTCCTAGTGTTGTTTGCTAAGGGGTGGGGTGGGGATTTATGGATGTCACCACAGCAAGTATCTGCAAGTCCCACCATGGACATTTACAGGAAAAGCAGAAGTGTGAGCCTCTTGGGCTTCTTCCTTTCCTGACTGGTGGTTCATGCATTGAAGAGGAAGGGCTTCCAAAACCATAATGGGTCTCTGCTCAACTCTCTCAAAGCATTGCTCCTAGGCTCCATAAGCAGTATTGATTTTATAGGATTATTTAATACACAAAGTAAAAAGAAAAGAATTAATTACATCAAATAGTTTGTTCTCAACAATTGGTCACTTTTATATCTAACCATTCTTCCAAAGAGATCAGGCAGGGTAACATGCATTGAATTATCAGCTTTATCATTGCAATCTTTCTGTGAGGTAGGTGAGCCTGAACCACTGTGACTTGCTTATTCCATTGAACCTCCTGGTTGAGTGGAGACTTGAACCTGGCCACAACTCACTATACATTTTATTGTTACACAGTAGGCAAAGCTCTTCCTATACATAAAAGGAGTTTTAGGATTGTATTACAGTGGTACCTCGGGATGCAAGCAGGATCCGTTCCAGAGCCCCGTTCGCATCCTGAACAGAACGTAAGACGCAACTGTGCGTCGCATCTCGTCGCTTCCGCGCATGCTCGTGACGTCATTTTGACCATCTGCGCATGCGCGAGTGGTGAAACCCGGAAGTAATGCACTCCGTTACTTCCGGGTCGCTGCGGAGCGCAACCCGAAAATACTTATCCTGAAGTGTATTTATCCTAAGGTATGACTGTATTATGGCCTTATAGTAAGCAACATGCAAGTTGCACAACGACCAATAGTTGTTTTTACTTCAAGCTAAGCAGGGAGGGAGAATGAGTGGAGTGAGCAGGGTTGCAGGCCCTAGTATGACAAATACCCATGCTTGTGATTGGTGCATGTGTGGGAAGATGGTTTGGTACTGGGTAAGAACTCAAGAAAAGCCCAGTTGGATTAGCCCAAAGATCTTTTTTTAAGCATTCTGTTTGCTGCAGTAGTCAGTTGATTTCTTCTGGGAAGCCCATAATAAGGCATCATGGCTATACCCCTTACCTCACTATTTGTCCTCAGCATGTGGTGTTCAGAAGTACACAACAACTGTTCCATTTAGCTTTCGTTTTATGTTGGTTCTATTTGTTTGAACATTGTTAGCCACCCTGGACTCCTTTTGGAGGAAGAGTGGGACATAACGACATCTGTTAGCCACATTGTTGTTGTTGTTAACTCTATCCTCCATAAATATGCTTAATTATTTTAAATCTATCTTAAGCAATGACTTCATCTTGTGGTGGTGAAATACCATAGATTAATAATGTGTTGTATTAAGAACTCCCTTCTTTTATGTCCCCTGAATCTGCTACCAATCAATCTCACTGGATGATGCAGAAGTCTAAAGATAGTATTCAGCTAAGTTTTACTCAGAGTAAACCCACTGAAAGTAAGGGACCTGAGCCATCTTAATTTCAGTGAGCTTAGTTTAATACCACCCTAATGTGAGGGAGAAAAATTCTGTGCCTGCTTTTCCTGCATCATGCATAATTCTATAAAACCTGACTAAAATGCACTGAACACTTTATTTCTTATTTATTTCATAGAATCTGTAGATTATAAAAAAAACCATAAAGTGGTTTACAAAAATGATAAAACAATAAAGATAACACATAAAAAAGTACAACATACAGCTTGCTAAAATGTTTTAAACATACAGAATGCTAAAATGGCAATAAAGTAGACTAAAACAAATATCAGGCAAACTTTCTAAAGATCTGGGTAGGCTTATCTAAATAAGAATGTCTTCAGCACACGCCAAAAAAACACTACAGTGAAGGGGCCTGTGTTATATCAATAGGCAGGGAGTTCCAAAGTGTCGGTACTTGTAGGGAAGGTGCTCCAATGCCTTTGTCATCTTGTTTGACCTCTTCTGTACTTTTCTAGCACTTTTTGAGATGGGGCTACAAGAACACGACTGTATGTGGCTTTCTAAATTTGGCCGCACAATAGATTTATTTAGGGCACAATCCAATACATATGATCCCTGAGAGTGCTATATACAGTAATTGATTATCTCTGAAATTATGCAATAATATTTCACTTCCCTGTTGTCACCAGGTGTATACTCTGCATCATGCCAGCAAGGAGAATAAAGCCAGCTGCTGAAAGGATTGCAATTACTCAGTTTCACTCTTGTGAAACACAGAAGCAGCAAATATATTTTTCTTCCACACACATAGCTGCTTTCTTCCCTGCTCCTTTATTACATCTCCTGTCCTTTCTTTAGTTCAATTTACTTGAATTATTACTGTTCTTCTACTTCTGATTGTTGCTTCTAACACATGGCTCTTTTTAATAGTGAGGTAAGGGGTATAGCCATGATGCCTTATTATGGGCTTCCCAGAAGAAATCAACCGACTACTGCAGCAAACAGAATGCTTAAAAAAAGATCTTTGGGCTAATCCAACTGGGCTTTTCTTGAGTTCTTACCCAGTACCAAACCATCTTCCCACACATGCACCAATCACAAGCATGGGTATTTGTCATACTAGGGCCTGCAACCCTGCTCACTCCACTAACCAACCCTATTCCCATTCCCCCCACAATAACCACTATAACCACTTCCCCTTCCTACTCCATGCAACTACGTACTGAGCTCGCTTTTCACTTTCCCAGCTCCATCTCTGAAGCCACTTCTCTCTTCTAATCTGCAGCCCCCTTCACACCTGTTTTCACCTGAACCCACAAGCCTATACCTCCTGCTTCCCCTTTTTTGCGCAACCACCCCCCTTGCACACAAACCATCCCATGGTAGCCTCTTGCACCTATCTTGTCCCACACATTGCTACTAAATATCCTTTCCACCCAACTAGAAAGCCACCACCCGCTCCTATTCTTCAGGTCCTTTCATGTCCCTGCTTTCATTTTCAACCCCATTCCCATGCCTCCTTTTCCATCATTGTTTTGCAAACCCTTTTGCTTAGTTGATATTCCTGCACTGCACGGGGTTAGAGACCAGGTGACCCTTGGGGTCCCTTCCCTTCCAACTCTACATTTCCATGATTCTCTCTTTCCCACTTTCCCCTTCTTACCTTTTTCAACTCAGCCTTGCACACAGACCACCCCCACTTCTATGCCTCATCCTCTCTCCTAATCTGCACCCCACTTTGCACACACCCCATGATAACGTATGTTACTGAATCTTTAAAATGAATAAACTCTTAAGAGCAAACCTATCAGTTAGCTTGTTCAGTTGGAGAATGTTAAATTCAGTTGATGAATGTTATTTGTATATTGTATGACTGTAGGGTGTTTGCTTGTTAATAAAACATGTTCTAAATTATTACGTTAGATCTGGAACTTAATGTTGAAGAAAATACATGGTATCAGGAGTGAAATACACTGTGTGAAGGTACTATGGATTATCTGAGGGCTTTGTATATCTCTCACACAAATGAATCAGCTGAAGAGTAGAAGAAGTTTGTGTATAGCAAGAAGCGAGGAACACCAAAAGGGAAAAAAGAGGCTATTTTAAACAAAGAACAGCAGAGGTTTGAGTAAAGTAGGGATGGGAGGGTAAGTTTTTTAAGGAACTGTTATCACCTGTTGCTTGTTGCTCAGGGCTCCTTTGGGTAGAATAAAAAGAATTAAGAGAAATGTTATGCCTGAATTGCTTTCATAATTTTAAGGGACCCAAAATGACTCTCTTGCCCAGGATCCCCAAAACCACAGGCCACCACTGCATATTGCCTCCTCACAACAACTTGAGACTCTTGCTTTTGGAAAAAGACAATGTCTTTTGACCACTTTGATCACTATCAGTCTCTTTAACAGAAGAGTTGAGTAATGGGGGTGTTGAATGGACATGCCTATAGGGACTGAAGCAACGTGTATCAGAGTAAGTAGGGTAGAAGTTAGAGAGAAAAATATGGAGCACTCCTCCCCACAAATATTCTAACCAGAGCCATGAAATTTTACAGGCCTTTAAGTAGCCATTAATGACAGATGTGCTGCTTTCTATTCTCCTTCACTTTATCATAACATCTGAAGTTGAAAATAGATCTAAATGGATTTTCTGGCCCCTTTCCATCCCAGAATGTTACATATGTAAAGAAGTTCTTGGCATATCATGCTAAACTCTGTCAAGAATCTGCAAAGTGTTAAGTTCTTTTATGAATGTCAGAGAATAGATTTCACACATCTATCTGGTTTATAAAAAACACCCTTGTATGAAACAACTGGTTTGGGAAAATTCTAATATTTTCTAGGTAAAATTATTATTTGTTTTTAATTATGGTGAAAACTCAGACAAGTGTTTATGTCTTTGATTCAGCAGTAAAGAATGTATGATTTTATCTTTGTGCTTGTCTCTTTGATCCAGCTCAGTCATCCATCAGTAGAATGGAGAGCTAAACAATTTCGATTGATTCCCCTCCCACATTCCCAATATTTGTTCTAGGACAACATGGGAGGTAGGGTGGGGAGGGCTGCAGAGGAAAACTGACCAAAATATCTCCCTCCCTATCCTTTATATCATTTTAATTACATCTTTGTAGTGGCACCACTTTCTGGAATTCTTGGCACTGAAATATCTAACTGATTTGAAATGTCTATTTATTTCCTACCTGCTATCATGCATTTGACCAAAACATTATTATAATTTAGCCTGAATGCAATGTTGTCTGTGCATGGGGAGAACACAATAACCACTTACACAACAACTTTCTTTCATCCCAATGCAGCCGCCCCTCAAAATCTGCTCTGGAGGGTTGGGGGGGGGGTCTTGTGGTCCTCTACAAATCAAAATAGCAATCTCCTATAACCACTTTCTGGGGTCTGCTCTTCATGAAGGACTGGAGCAACTTTAGAACAGTACCCTAGGTTGGTGAACAGTTCAACAGGACACATGGAAGATTCCTACTTTCAGTTAGAACACTTCAGCTTAACTTTAAGTCTGTTATGTAAGGAATGAACTTACATAAAAAGTAACCTTGTTCCATTGGCCCACAGTAACACAGTATAGGTTACTGGATAATATTGTGGTTTTAAGAAACACATTCTGGCATAAATTCATCCTGCACATAATTTCTTTTTCTTCTACTCCTGAAGTCAGGGAATTATCTAGAATTCATTTTTCTCAATGGGTTATGGAACAAAGGTTGAGTTCTCCTAAGATAAACAGGACTTACAAACTAGTTATGCTGCAACCCGATACACAGTCACTGTGGCTTACATCTGAGTAAGTAAAGGGGAGGAGAAGGGCAGCACTAAAAAGAACAAGAACAAAGGAAGCAAAAGAGGCAGCAAAGTCTCAAAAAACCGTTGAAAGATCCATCTTTATGAATAGTAATAGTGTTGGTGGAACAAAAATGTCCACTGCATTTCATATGATAACAACTTCCCTCAGGAGCACAAGATTACAGTTCTCATATCAAGGCAACACTTCTCTCTTTCTTTTCTGAGTAGAGATGTATAACACTACACAGTTAAATGCCTGGGAAGTACCGCCTTCCTCTGATAATAGTTCACAAGAAGAAGAACTGAGGACCATGTTCCAAACTTAAAGTTTAAATTTAATGCAATACATTTTTTTTATTCTATTGCCACAAGCCAAACATGTATTTATGCATATTATATTCCATACAAGTACCACAAAACTGATATAAAAAATGAAGTAACTCAGCAGCAGTCAATGGATACAGCCATTCTAACTAGAGGAGTCACTACTACTTCATCAGCTCTGCTGAGATGCCAGCTCCATCAGCCGTTTCTTTTCCTTCAACAGCCATATGGCAATAGTCATAGGCATTCTTTCAGGATGCAATTGGGGGCAGGGATACAAGGGAAGCAAGGTGACAGCATAGGCTCAGCTGAGACCCCAGCAATTTTTGGTTCCTCCTCTCTATTCCAGCCAGTCATTGTAAGAACTTTGTAACTAGTGCTTGATTTTGCTTTTGCCCTGAATATGTGCATGCATACTAGTTGGCTAAGCACCATAGGCTGAGACTGTCCAGGCAACATGTCAACACTCAGGTTTTACTTACTGATTGTGGATTCATCTCTTCTTCTCCCATAGGTTCATCCATGATTTGTTGGCCATTCTGCAAAAAAAGAAAGGGGGTTCATAAAGCAACTAAAGTAGAAACATTTCTCTACATCTTATTAAAAATAACAAAACAATGGGTTATATTCAACTAAGTCTTACCCAAAGTATAACAATTGAAATTAATGAACCTAAGTTTGTCATGTCTATTAACAGCAATGAATCTACTCCATGGGTAGGCAAACTAAGGCCAGGTCCAGTTCAATCGCCTTCTAAATCCGGCCTTCAGAGAGTCCGGGAATCAGCGTATTTTTGCATGAGTAGAATGTGTCCTTTTATTTAATAAGCATCTCTGGGTTATTTGTGGGGCATAGGAATTCATTCATATTTTTTTTCAAAATATAGTCCGGCCCCTCACAAGGTCTGAGGGACAGTGGACCGGCCCCCTGCTGAAAAAGTTTGCTGACCCCTGGTCTACTCTGAGTAGGACTAGCATTGGATAAAACTCAAAGTTATTTGCCAGTATCAATTACTATAAAAGATGGTTGCAACTACTGTCTTACTGGGCAGTGAAGGGGGGGGGGGACTTTCCAGAAAGAAAATAAGGTGTACAATTCTAAGCCACTAACTATTTAGAGGACATGACTAGAAGCCCATAGATCTGCAAAAAGCAAGATGAAGACAACAACCCATCATACAAAACAAACATTTAAACTGGACCTTGACAATGGCAAAGGTGATGCAGCTCTATTGAAAATTATTGTGTTTTAAATAATATGTAAGTTCTATTACTGTGAAGTGAAGATAAAGAATAGAATTATAGGACTGCAATGCTTAATCAATTAGATATATCAATAAACCACTTTAAAAGTGGCCATTTAGACAGCAAGTACTATATTAAGGGGACTTTCCCTCTTATGCAAGATAAAATGCCTCATAAGATTTTTCCTCTCATATATATCACCTAAAAAAAAATCAAATGATGTATGCTACTTGCTTCAGAACTTTTTCTTTTTTCTTTTTGCCAATGTGTGAATCGAATCCATTAAAGCAATATCAGTCAAGTTTTACTGTGCAACCCACTGCATATCTATTTCATATCTTGGCTCTTGTATGGTTGGCTATCTTGTACTAAAAACACAGATATGAGTTGCCCTGGGACTGGAGAGTAGAAGGGAAACGCACTTTGGCTTTTGTCCTTGCCCAGAGGACCCAGGACCACTAAGAGACTGCCTCCCCTGCCTCCCAGGAGTAACATCAAGGCGATCGGAAGTCTAACCTGGCCCTAGTTCTCGGCCAGAGAAGCAGCAGCTGCAAGGGGCATGCCTTCCCCACTCCCTGCTTGAAAGAACACTGAGCCACAACTGCCTGCTGCCCTGGGAATGCAAAAGCAAGGGGAAAGAACACCCCGACTCCATTCAGGGGCCAAATGAACAAAATACACTAATTGCTATTCAAGAAAGACCACCAGCAGAGAAGATCAATCCAGCCCAACCTGGATAAAACTGTTTGTGGCCTTCATCTGGTTGACCACCGCAAGAACAGACTGCTGGACTAGATGGGCCTCTGGCTCCTTTTAGTACCCTCTAGCAGTCTCACTATTTTGTTCCGGCCTTAAAGAACTGATATCTCTATATTTTCCAGTGTTCAAAACTCCCATTGTACTAGGCGCATTTTGTAATAGGGAATTTCATTAGTGTGAGCAGTTTCTGAGCTCTGGGTGCAGTACTGCATCTAAGATTTCAGATTAAAACTGCAGAGCTGAAGGAAAAGAGGACCTTTTTCTGCCTCTCCAGTTCCAGCTACTCTCTGAAGGCTGGAGAAGAGACCCTCTTAAGAATATTAGAGGGGTGACCAGGGGAAAATGTGAAAAATGATATATTTTAGCTGCAGTTCATTCATTTTCAGCTTTGTATTCTTCTTATAAAAAAGCATGCCTAGACATTCTGTTGTTGCACCCATAATCTAGGTTTAAGGTGCCATTTATCTCCTAGCTTTCATATCTCAGTTTATAATACTGATCTTTTCCCTTTATTCTCCTTTCCTTGTGTACCTTGCATTTGCCATTTGTAAGCCTGATGGCTAGACTTCTCTCTCTCTCTCTTTTTAAAGTCACTTTAGGAAACAATAATTGCCTGAAAATCAGTATAAACATACAGGAAATAAAATAGGTAAATAATTTGTGTACAATAGGATAACAGGTTGAGAGCAAGTTCCCCCAGCCTGCACACTCAAGGGCAGGGGTTGGCAACCTAAGGCCCATGGGCTGGGGGTGGTTTAACCAGCCCACGAGCCGCCCATGAACCAAGCTGCCTGCACAGTGAGTCCCCATGTGCTGTGCTAAACTGGCACTGCATGGGAACTCGCGTCTGTGGTGCCGGAAATCGCATTTGCGCAGACATAGATGCCGGAAATCGCGGGCGGGTGCGCTCACACACGAGATCTGGCCCACAGAGGGATCTCCGCTGGAGTGAACCAGCCCAGGCGAGGTAAACCTTGCTGACCCCTGCTCAAGGATCTAAGCAGCACTACAGCAGCAGCCATGTTAGCTGGAGCACAGCATTTGTGTACCAACCTCTCATCCAGACTTGGCTGCTCAAAGGAAGTTACTCTAAAACACTTCCTAGGATGACACTGCTTTAAAGCAAAATATCAAGATGGGTGTATTTCAGTGTGACTTGGCACTGGGAACTGCCAAAGATAAGAAGCACTACATTTATCAACAGCTTCCCAGAAACAAACAGAAGCCTCTGTATGACTCTCCTCTTTCATCAGACCCTACTTACTAATTTCCACTTACTTAAACCAGGCAGTTATCCAACTTTCAATGGCAAAGATGGCAAAGCAGCCTTCGCCACCCGACGCAAGACCAAGAGATGTAGATTTTTAAACAATTTCTTATCACTTTGTTGTCTGGGTAACCCAAAGAAACACACCAGGCTCTTACTCATCCTCGTGAATCCAAATCAAAATACACTACGGACTACTAAAATACTGCTTTCCTCCAGCAAGAGTTCATTTTATATAAAGACATTTAAATGGATGTGAAGAAAATTTAGAGCACAATTCCTTACACTTTTAATGTGTAGCATCATTATCACATTAGGAACATTAGTATTCCAAGTAAAACTCGTGGAACACATATTTGCACTAACTTCTATATGATTCTACATTACTTTTAGCAGCATATAATTGCCTTGCTCACAAGGGACACCCAGCAAGAATGAGCTGCATGTACCAGATCTCTAATCTGTCTTATGATTTGGCTAGTAAATCAGACTAGTGAAGGGCTGGTCACGAAAGGTGATTCATTATAGCCAGTCATTTTCTCCAGCAGGATGAGTGTACTAAAATGACACATTGCCAAAGACTGTTTAGCCCTCTGGTGTGTTCATCACCACATATTAGTCTTACTCTAAAACAGATACAGATAGATGTATAACATGTTTACATCAGTAACAACTGAAAGATTGCAGTGGGGCTAAGTTGTAGAAGAAAGTAAGTAAAAAATAAGTCAATTTACAATGGTTTTCCATATTAGAAAATATTGTCTAGATGTTTCAATGCAAGATAAATCACAAAATTCCAAGTATTACAGTTGCTAGTGTAATCTGGCATTTCAAATACCTGACTGCACAGTATGAAAACACTCAAATAATTGGGAAAATAATGCAAGTTACAATACAAAGAAGATTGCAAACTTACCATATTTTTTGCTCTATAAGACTCACTTTTTCCCTCCTAAAAAGTAAGGGGAAGTGTATGTGCGTCTTATGGAGCGAATGCAGGCTGCGCAGCTATCCCAGAAGCCAGAACAGCAAGAGGGATTGCTGCTTTCACTGCGCAGCGATCCCTCTTGCTGTTCTGGCTTCTGAGATTCAGAATATTTTTTTTCTTGTTTTCCTCCTCCAAAAACTAGGTGCGTCTTGTGGTCTGGTGCGTCTTATAGAGCGAAAAATACGGTATTTTATCTTGCAACCTTTCTGGTAAAAGATTTGAGTGTAAAAGCTATGCAGGTCAAAGGTCATTAACAGGAAAAATGATATTTTGTAGGTATATGTATTGTTTAGCATTTTTATGAATTTTGTACTAAGAGCAATGTACATATCACAGTAAATAATACAGTGGTACCTCGGGTTAAGAACTTAATTCGTTCTGGAGGTCCGTTCTTAACCTGAAACTGTTCTTAACCTGAAGCACCACTTTAGCTAATGGGGCCTCCTGCTGCCGCTGCGCCGCTGGAGCATGATTTCTGTTCTCATCCTGAAGCAAAGTTCTTAACCCGAGGTACTATTTCTGGGTTAGCGGAGTCTGTAACCTGAAGCGTCTGTAACCTAAGGTACCACTGTACTGCCTTTACAATGATCATGTTCAGACACAACTACAGGTAATCAATTAGCCTATGCATGAGCCACGTGAAAGTGCATGCAAACTGAGCTCTCCTACTTCGCTCCTCCCTTCCTCTGTCAGGGAAACAAACCATGGAGTGGCAGGCTTAGCAATACTCCAAACCAGTGCTTGTGGGTTGTTTCTCTCAAAACAGACCACAATTCTGAAGCCAAGTTTTTTTCTTGGTTGCCCACTGCCCAATCATGCTTGGGGGGGGGGGGGAGTAAGCAAGCTATGAGTGCTGGTTCAGACATAATGCAAAGCCAGTAGTTTCCCTGAAGCTTCAAAACAGTAGAGCTCAGCATACTCACACTTCAATGTGGCTTGCACACAGGTTAATTTGGCTAACTGCAGTTAAGATTGCAGAAATGATATATCACTACAATGAGCCAGATATTTTTGGAAAAGCTGAAGACAGTTATTAGTAAGGGCTTCATTTTTTTCTATTTGCAGCCTAATTATATTCATATTTACTCAGAAGTAGTCATGTTAATTTCAACAGAACTTACTCCTAGGTGAATATGCTTAGGGCTGAATCCCTAAGTTATATTTTTGTTTCTCTCAAACTGCTTACTGCTCCCTATTTTTCGCTCCATATTTACAGTGGTGCCTTGCAAGACGAAATTAATCCGTTCCACGAGTCTCTTCGTCTTGCGAAGCACGGCTATTAGCGGCTTAGCGGCTATTAACGGCTTAGCGGCTTTAAGAAAAAGGAAACAAACTCACAAGAACTCGCAAGACGTTTCGTCTTGCGAAGCAAGCCCATAGGGAAATTCGTCTTGTGGAACGACTCAAAAACGGAAAACCCTTTCGTCTAGCGAGTTTTTTGTCTTGCAAGGCATTCGTCTTGCGGGGCACCACTGTATTTCTTAAAACTGAAGATGAAGAGGATGATGTAAACAACCTCTATACTTCACTCAGGCACAGCAATGGTTACAGTTAATGTTTTTTTAAAAAAATTTCTTTCACTGATTTGTACATCTTACTTTTTACAGCTGTGTTCTCAAAAATTAATAAACATATTTTTTTCAATTGCTCCTTGTAGGTTTAAATGCTGTTTTTTAGGTAATTCATAAGCAAATCATTGGATTAACTGGTAATGCACATTCTAGTGTGTTTTCAATTCTATAACCTTCAAGCAAGAAACTGAAATCTCTCACAATGCCGCCCTGCAAATATAGCATCTTGTTCGTTTACATTTCCGGCATTTTACAGGAACATATACATGTTTGTTTAAAATGTCAGTTTAAAAGTTGCAACACAGCTCTGTACACATTCTTCTTTGCTACCGTATTTGCTTCAGCTGGGAGGGCATAGTATCTCCACAAGGTTGTTGCAAGGATATTGGTGGTGAGAATAGCAGCTTGCCACAACCCATGACAGTACAATAGGAAAGTGTGCCAGGGATGAGAAGTATGAACAATTTAAAGGCACCTAGAACAGATTCCAAGCCCCATTTGATAGCAGACAATTGTCTGCATAGGTTATGGTACCACCAGCCCTCTATCAATATGACCAGCGCTTTCCCTACTGACCGTCTCAATAAAAGGCAAAGAAGCAATTTTTCAGAAAGGGGCTTATTCTCACTTCAAACCATTAAATACTACAATTTGCCTTCTTAAAACATTTTGATATAAGCAAATACTATAGCCATGATTAAATACTTACATGATGAAAACACTTAACATATAATTAGGTTTTAAAATAAAGTAATGCACACTTTCCCCATCTCTCCAGCCAGCCATCTACACACAATGTGCTTTTGTCCTGTATTCCACTAAGCAAAATGGCTTTGAGTTACTGTTATAATCTTTTTTCCCTTCCCTAACATCCATTTTTGATGAGAGTCATGCATCTGGGACAAAAAAAAATTAACCTCACCTATCTGGGGTCTGAACTAGCTGTGACTGACAAGGAATGAGACCAAAATGATCAGGAGGAGGATGGAGCCACTTCCTTATGTGGACAGGTTGCGGTTTTCAGTTTAGAGAAAAGCCAAGTAAGAGGCAGCATGATCAAAGTGTATAAATCTTTGCATGCTATGGAAAAAGTGGATAGAAAAAAGTTTCTCTCATAACACTAGAATTTGGGGATATTCAGTGAAGCTGAATGTTGGAAGATTCAGCACAGACAAACGAAAGTACCTTCTTCCTTCAATGAATAATTATACTATGGATTTCACTCCCACAAGAGGTAGCGATGGCCACCATCTTGGATGGCTGCAAAACAAATTCCTGGTGAATAAGGCTATGTTCTACCTCTGCTGTCAGAGATAGTATGTTTCTGGGTATCAGTTAGTGGAAACCACAGACATCTGGTTGGGTACTGAGAGAACAGGATGTGGACAAATGGGTCACTGGCCTGATTCAGTGGGCTGTTCTCGTGTTCATAACCAACTCTAGTTGCAGCTCAGACTGGAGTTTTGAGAATTAATTAATTTCACTTAACCAAATGAAACTGGCTATATTTAATTCTTTATGCAAAGAAAGCCAGAGGCTTTTGGGTCACAATCATGTCTTAAACAAGCATTGTTCCTAATTACCAAGGTCTATCACTACAAGCATTCCCAAGCAATATTATTATTTATTCATTAATTTAAATCACACTACTGTCTTGAAAGAATAGGGTGGGAAGAAACACTTTTAATTATTTCACATCAAAAGTACTTTTTTGAAAGATGCACTCTTCCACATGGGATCTACCTAGAAGTTTCTTCCATGGAGCAGCATACCATATTATGTTTGAAACCTTTAATAGTGCATTGGTTCCATAGCGTATAACATCTCTACACCAAGGCTAGTCACAATCAGGAATATGTGGAGCTGGCAAAGATTATCTGGATGAGCAGATACTCCTGGTAGTGGGCAATTTTATCATTAAAAACAAAAATAGCTAAGTTTCTGACCTGGCTGCAGACCACATTGTGATCTGCTTGCCTGGTGTGAAGACTGCAAATGTCATTCATCATCTAGAGAGGCTGGTAGATGGTGCTGGGGAGAAGTCAGTGGTCATGCTGCATCCTGGCACCAATGGCATGGGCTAATGTAGTCATGCTCCAACCCCCATCAGCCCCAGTTAGCATGGACAATGGCTAGGGATGTACTCCAGTAATTTCTGGAGGGCACCATGCTGGCTACCCTTGATATAGCTGGGAATGCCTCTGGCTAATTAAATGATCTATTTGGGGGCTTGTTACTATGCTATGCATTTATATGCTTTGGAAAGGAGGCCTGGGGGTGTGGAGGGGCACCAAAAAAGGTATCAAGGGCCACATGCAGTCCTTGAGCCACATGTTTGACTGCCCTGCTATAAATAAGGGGGGACGGACATGACAGAACTGCATAAAATTGTGCAAACTGTTCTTCACATAGTTCATAGTTAAATGCTTTAAAAGGGGAATTAGACAAATTCATGGAAAGTAAGACCATCAACTAGCCATAATGACTTTATTCTATCTTCACTGTAGGAGTAGTAGGTCTCTGAAAACCAGCCAGTGACGATCATGAATAGAAAAATACTGTTGTACTCATGTCCTGCCGCTGGGATTTCCATAAGCATCTGGTGAGAAAAGAATGTTGGCCTGGACAGACATTTGGTCTGATCCAGTGGGGTTGCTTTTATGTTCTTAGATGCTGCACATAACAAGCACAACACGGATCATAAGCATCTTTCAAACATTATGCTTAGCTCCTGGAATGATATTTAGACATACTATCTGGTTGTCTCCATTGGGGAACTGATATATTTCAATAGGCTGCAATGATACGTCATCCGTAGAAATACAGTTAAAATGCTTTATTGTTATTACACCTCTGAGGCAAATGGTTTTTTTTAAAAAACAAACTCTTTATGGAACAAAGTGTTATAAACACAAATACTGTTGCTCTACTAAGTCAAAAAGAACAGAATACTTCGGGATTTAACAAAGCTAGAAACAGGGTAATTTAATTATGCCAAATTATCACAACACCTTATTACTACCAATATAAGGAACCACTTGATGAAACAGCAGAGAGGTTTTCTCAGAACCATATCCTGAAAGCTACTACTACTTAAGCTAGATTATCTAAACTTGATCAAACCACAAGCATGCTGCTTCAACTACATAAAGTACATTGCTTCTTAGATCATGAGAACTTGGCGGGGGGGGATGGAGACGGATGACCACCAGTTCCTATATTGGTGCCTTGCTTTCAGCGGAAGCAGGATATGAGGACTTCCCCTTTTAAAAATGAGAAAAGAAAAAACTTGCTCTCATGTGCAAACTGTTCTTACTGCCTGGTTACAGACCTGTACATGGAGGAAGTTGAGCATCCGGTCAAAATGAGGGGGAAGGGAGGGAGGAAGAGACAGTAGCCGGGGAAAGTAACCTAACACCATCAAAAAGAACAAAAGCTGCCAAGTCATTCAACCCTTCAGTTTCTACAGCAGATCTGACAATCTGACAGTAACCCACTCCACAACCACCTAACCCAGATGTTCTTGGCTTCATAAAGGTGCTGTATCCTGGCTGCACCTTATGAAGTGGAAAGAGGAAAGATGATTACTGAGATATTCCGAAGCTTAACGCTATTTAACTCCTCCTCCAGCAAATTTCAGAACAGTAGTAGCATTGGCTATAGATGGTAAAGTCCCTTTGCTCCCACCCTCTTTTGATTTTCTTAACCCTCTGGCCTTGCCTTAACCAGCAGTCAGGGGTCTTGCCCCCTCCACTTCCCCTGACTATCGTCCCTTGCAAACAAATGGAATAAGGAGGCTGTTCGAAATTAGCTTGAAAGCCATCAGCAGCATTGGCGGTATGGATCAGCATGTTTCTTCCCTAAGGTGAAGAAAAAAACTATCACAAAACAGATCTGTTTCAGTAAAGAGGAGAGAAGAGAAGGGCATAGGCACCCCCTCGCATACTTTATCTCCCTCCTCCTCCCCAACAGGGAGATCCCACAAAATTCCTTTCAAAGGAAGGCAGAGGTAAACTGTGCCCTCTCCATTACGCCAGAGATCTCAATGCCACTGCGTACAGAGATACCGTCCTGCCGCCAAAAGAAATTTATTCTCCGAACCGGGGCGATCAAGACGGGAAGAGGGGTTTTGTGTGCCAGAAGAGTTGCCCACACCACTCTCTCCCCCGCCGCCAAGCAAGCCATTACTAATACGGATTTTAAATATCCTGTCGCTGAAAAGGGTGAGAGTCGGAAACGCGCCCCTTCGTGACTCGCTGCCCCCGAGAGCGGCGAGGGCGAGAGAGGGAAGCGGACTTGGTTAATCTGGAGTAAAGGAGCGAACGGGGTGAGGCGGGAGAGGGGCGACAGAGCAGGCGGCCAAGGGGGCCACGAAGAGCCCCCAGACGGGCAAGGGGGCTGCCCTGCCTCGCATGGGGCACTTGGAAGAAAGAGGAAGCGGCCGCCGGTCCCCAAGCCGAGGCGGAAGCAGAGCGGCAAAACGTTCCCCTTTCCCCAGGACGGGCTTTTAATCCTCTCCCCGCCTCCTGGCGGGCCCTTCCTCGCCCTCCGGGGCTCAGCGGCGGCGGCGGCAGCAGGGGGTGCTGTAGCCGGGACTCGGCGCCCGCTCCCCGGCCGGCCGGCCGCTCAGGTCGCCTTACCTCGGCGCTGCTGCTGCTGCTCTCCGCCGCGCTCTCCACAGCCATTTTTTGCCAGGGGTCCGCCAGCTGCGCTAACGGCATCTTCCCGCTTTAACTTCCGAGCTCCCCCCACCTGGAGCCGCCGCCGCTGCCCCACAGTCTCTCGCTCAGGCTCCGGGTCAGGATTCCTCCTCCTGCTGGCCAAGGCGAGGGCACTGCCGGGACACTCGCGCTCCCAACCCCCGCACTGGGGGCGGAGGACGAGGCAGAGCTGCCCACGCGCGGGCGACGGAGAGAACTGGGCTCGGAAGAAGCCGCTGCCGGGCAGAGCCAACCTCCCGACGTCCAGCAGGGCTACTGCTACTACTGCCGCCGCCGCTACTCACTCCGCTTCCGCTCCCAACATGGCGGCCCCCAAGCCGTACCTGCCTGTCAAGCCGAGGCCTGGTGGCGTCATCCCCGAGGGCGGGACTGGCCCAGCCAATGAGCGGCGAGCCCAGGTAGTAAAGGGACGGAGTGGCGGGCGGGCGGCCAGGCGATGGTTGCTCTGATCCCGTCGGGAGTGACTGGCTGGCGTGGGAGGGAGAGGCAGGCAGGCAGGCGGGGACTCCGGATACGTGACGAGGGGTTTGGGTTTTTTTCTCCTTTTTTGTCACGGTCACTTGAGCGAAGGGCGGGAGGCGGCGGGTTTATCCTCCGCTCGGGCAGTTTTGCTTTCTCCGGCGCCGCGGATGCCGCCCGCGAGCGTCACACCCCTCGAGCTGTACAAAAGCTTATCGTGTGTAGATAGGCGATTGTGCGGCGTTTTCCTTCTACCCCCGGATGAACTAATCCGGCATAATTGCTATAGTGCCACCCCCGTGGCTATGACGGCAAAGTTTAGTAACCTTTCCGAGATAATCCGCGGGAAGCTGTTAGTTTTGTACGTATTCAGTATGACTATTCTGGAGTTTATTTTTTAGTTTTTTTTTAAAAAAAACTTCATAAAAGTTTTGGCTTAACAAAAAACCAAAACCCTGTTAATTCTGAACTAAAACTGGACTCTGCAACCCTGAACACATGTTAGATTTTAGAAGCCTTACAGGATTTTTCTTATAAAAGCATGGCTAAAGAGTCAACAAGGAATCCCAAATACTTCCAACACTGCCTTCACCTTCACATCCTGGCATTCTTAACTCATCCCTTGGGTTTCCGTCCAGTGTAGTTTATCCCTCTGATGAAATTTATATGACACACTATTCTACTTTGTTAATTTTAAAGAACCAGGTTTATGATTCTGTAAATAATTGTTTTTGATTTGATTTTGCAGTTGCTGAAAAGATGAAGAATCAGCAGAACAATCCCATGCAGTTGGGTGGGACTTCGTAATCTTATATTTCAAACAACATGCCTTCCCTGCACCTAAAAAAGAAATATGGTCCTCCTAAATTATGTGTTTAATAAATATAGGTAGAATTATACTTATTATTGTATAAGCCTCTGTCTAATTACTTTCCACATTCTTGGGTTGAAAAATGAAAAAGGTTTTAAAATATATGTTTAAAAAGTATACTTCAGTGTGCATCCTTAGGACACTGTAGTTATATCATTGTGTGATTCAATCATATACAGTACCAGCAAATTCATGTTGCACAACTATTGGAAATTGGGAGGTCTTCCACAACAAATCTACTTTCCCCAAAGACCTGACTTTTAGCAACATAAAAAGTGATGGGGAAATTTACTGGAAAGTGTGGGCTAACATTTGCTTTGATGCAACTGACATCCAACTTCCCTGCAAACTGATCAGGATGAATGTTCAGTAGACATAATCCAGAAGCAGTCTTAGAGTTGAAGAGATCCACAGAGGGGCAAAACAATGGTACCTCGGGTTACAGATGCTTCAGGTTACAGACTCCGCAAACCCAGAACTAGTACCTTGGGTTAAGAACTTTGCTTCAGGATGAGAACAGAAATTGTCGTGCTCTGGCGGCGCAGCAGGAAGCCCCATTAGCTAAAGTGGTGCTTCAGGTTAAGAACAGTTTCAGGTTAAGAACGGACCTCCAGAATGAAGTACTTAACCCGAGGTACCACTGTATACAGGTCAACCCTCATCATTAAAACAAGATAGTCTTGGCTTCAATGCTGCCTATTCTAACGACTTTGAACATATTGAAACTTGAATGAGCAACATGCTTAGGATTGCATCTCAATCCTCATTAACACTTAATTGGGAGGAACTTCCATTGAACACTGTAAGACTTCCTTCTGAGTAAGCATGCATAGGGTTGTGCTGTTAGGGTGCCACTATATCCGACAATGTCGTAGTCTGACTCAGGCAATGCTGAATACATTGGAAAGAGGAAAGACTTAAGACACAGAATGGAAGTTAGGAGCTAAGCCCTTCTAGCTGTGCTTTTCTCTCAAATACTCTTTTCGTTGTTGAGAACATAAGAAGAGCTTGCTGGAACAGGCTAATGACTCATCTAATCCAGCATCCTCTTGTCACAGTGGCCAACCAGAGGCCTGTGTTGCTTGTTTTGCTGTTTTGATCACAGATAGGTTTACTTCCAATTGCAGAGTTCTACTGAAACAAAAATAGTTTCCTGTCAAACACAAGTATGATGCATACTTTGAAGTTTCCCTAGTACCATCCTAACAAAAAGGTCTGCAGCCATTATAACTATTTCTTCTCTTGAGCATGACCACCAAGGAGGAAGATTAGTCTATTTGTTGATGGTTTTTAGGGTTCAGCGTTTTTTTCTGACATGCAAGAAAACATGCAAAATACTGCCAGAGAATGGACACTTTGTTTGTTTGTTTGTTTGGCAATGCATAGTCTCTGTTCCTAGGAATGCATTGGGTCCAATGTGTGCATTATAAAATAGAAAAGGCAGTTATTACATATGGCACATCTTCTTCAAGACCAGTAATAAGCATTATATTTTTTGCCAATGAATTATTTCATTGAATACATATAATTAGTAGGAAACTGTTTATAAAATTCATAAGGTATGGGGGGTGTTAAAACACATATCTGTTGGTTTAAATCTGTTGACTTAATTGTGACTTGCATACTGATTACAAACCTATTTATCTGGATCTGAGCTCAATTATAATCAACATTTATTTCCAAATAAATGACCAGGAGTGTGAAATTTTAGTATTTGTATCAGTAAACAGCAGGGCACACTACATCTATTTTTACTGCAGTTTTATTTCAATTGAACTCAAAGTGACCAAGAATTACAAATAAAACATGAGGTGTTTCTCTATAAGGAAAATGATAAAATCCACAGGTGGCTTAATACCTTTATAGTAACACAAAAATAACACAAAATAGAAATAAAGTTTTGGAGTTCTCTAGAACTCTTCACATTGTTACACAAATCGTGTTTTTCCCTACCCTGTTTCTTCCTCCTGCTAGCATCTATCCTGATTGAAAATTGTGGAGAAATCAAAAGCTCACTCACTATCGTGTAATGTTTTGACTTTCCAAATGAAGACATTGCCCAATTGTGGATTTTGGAACCTTTGCAAAGTGCAAGAATGCTGGTTTGAGCAATTTGTGGTGGAGGAAAGGCAGGCTATATAGGAGGATGCTGTCTCAGGACATGACTGTACATGTTTTCTTCCATAGTGTACATGAGTTACCTAGGGATAGTTGTTCATTGCTGCTGAAACTGATGATAAATATCAGGATGGTGACAGGTAAGATCTCATTTGCAATCATCAGGATCATTTTAGCATGTGAGTGGCTTCCTATGTTCTTGGCTTCCTGGAGTGTAATTGACATCCACCAGGAATTTAGAATTCCTGCCAGTGTTCTGATGTAATCTTGAGAATGTGGATGTGGGCGGGATTGTTGCAGCCTCAAATGGGAGTTCTAACAAAGTACATTTGAATAAACAAGGACGCTGCACTCCTATTTTTCATTCTGAGGCAAAGTGCTGTGCTGGAAGAGGCCCAGGGCCACACTCTTAAATTGCTTAAGGCTTGAATCCTAAATACACTTGCTAGGGAGTAAGCACCACTGAAAACAGTGGAATTTACTTCTAAGTAAATGTGTTTAGGATTGCACTGTAAAGCTCCGTAGGAGACATGGCTTTCCTATGGTACAATCTTCCTGAGGGGGGAAAAGGTAGCCATATGTTTGTACCTATATGTATAAAAACTTAAAGGGAAACTTTGCCCTTCTAAACAATATCTGATAGCATTATCATTTTATTACATTTATATTTTGCCCTCCCTCCTAGCAACTCAAGACAGTGTACAGCTAGAGGATCACTGGTTTTCCACCTCGTAGGTTGTTGGACTCCATTTCCTATCAACCTCAGCTGGCTTGGCCAGGGATGATGGGAGTTATATTCCAGCAGCATCTGAGGAGCCAGAGGTTCCCCATCCCTGGCGTACAACAGTGTGATGGAGCAGCAAAAAGTGTTGAAACCATCCACTGAGTTGTTGGTTGCAAGTTGAGGTGTTCTACCTTTTACATTTCACATGAGGGAATGACAAACTACACATTGCTATTTAACAGCTGCTTCCAGCGGTTTCATGTAGATGTTAAATAACACTGTGGACAATATGTTATTCTGCAGCACACCACACTACGATAGCTGGTGGACTGAGGTGATGTCACCCAACCCTATTCTCTATAACCAGTTCTGTAGGTAGGAGTGGAATCCCCCTAATTCACAAAAGCTGTCTAGGAGGATGCCATGATTCTTGGTACCAACAGCCTCTGAGAGATCAAGTAGAAACAGCATCACAATCTCCCTTTCCTTCTTCTGATAAAGGTCACCCCTCAGGGGAAACAAGATTGATCTGGTTCCAAAATGCAGCTTGAACTCAGATTGGAACAGGTCCAGCTAACCAATATTCTCCAGAAGCTCCTGTAACTGCACTGCCACCACACTGATGCCTCTAGTCCAGGATGGAGCTATTTGTGACTGGGTGGTTGTTGTCAAGAACCCTCCATGTCAAGAGTGGGCTTCAGAAGTAGATGCAGGTTTAAGGGCAGCAGGCAGATTGGACCCTGGACCCACCCCAGGATTAAGAAGAGTGCCCAGAGAGCTGGGCAAACAGTTGCAAGCACTCTGTCCACATCTTCAGGATGCAAGAGCTGAAATTTACCCCTTAAAAACAGGTCAGATGGTGCTTGCACACCGCATTTTGACCTGCTACAACAGAGAAATTTGAGTAATGGTGAGGCAGAACACAGGAGGCAGAGGCACCAGAAATAAAAGAATAGAGTCCTCTTTCACCATTGTGTTACTGTGCTAGCATTAAGCTGCTACAAATTGGTGATGCAGGAAGAGTGAAACAGGCTGAGTTATATTTATTGACATGACATTCACCTGTGGTTAAACTATAAGCAAATCGCATCCTGCCTGTGGTTCCAACATCCTGAGCAGTGATATGGAATACAATAAAATATAGCCTTGCATCAGGATATGTGGCATCAATACATGCTTTTATTATTTGTTTTGTTCATGAGAAGAACACTGAATGCTTTTTTAGTACAGAGTTTGGTTATCTTTGCAGAAAAGAGTTCAGGAAACATTTGGATTGAATGTGGGGGCTGCAAAGTGGTATCTGACCTTGCTCCCATGGTCAATTTGCACTATCTGAGCTTTCTGTTGCCTTGGCTATGCTTTTTGTCTCATTTTAGTTTTGGGTAGGAGAAACATTAACTCTATGCATTTAGGGTCCACTGCTGTAGTGCACTCCACAGCTATTCATATTTACACTGTTGTACTACACTGGCTTTCTTCATAGCTGAAGGACCATCTCCTTGCATATGATCCTGTCTATCTATTAAAGTCAGACGCAGGGGCCTGTTTATGCATCCTGCTTCCACCTGAGCTATGGCTGGTGAAAACATGTGAAAGAGCTCCAGGCAGATAGATTTGTGGCCTGGTCTCCTTCCACCAAACTTTCACCGTATACAATTAAGAATTGGGTTTTTTTTATCAAATCACCTAGTTTACTGTATCCTTTTTTCTTTTCTTTAAGATACCGTACAATCTCTTTGATTTATATTATTCAGCTATCAGGAGTTGTATGCATATACTCTTTTATACAGAATAGCACCTGGACTACCATACATATGGAATCCAAATGATTTTGCTTAGATTCACACATGAGTTAGCTTCCCTTTAAGAATAGCACTTGCTGAAATTTAAGTAGGTTGGATGGAAGATTAGGGACTGTTCACCTTTAGCCAACTCTCTCTCTCCCCGCCCTTGCTTTGAACTTCTTTCTTTATTTCTTTCTTTTTGCCTCTCGCAGTAGCTGGAGAATGTAACTTCCCAAACTCTGATGCATATTACATCCCCTAAATGAGAATCTTCCTAGTGATCTTCCTAACATCTGTTATTAGCTGCCAGTTTTAAATAAGATTGTTCCCCAGTATCTGATACAAACGTGTAAGGACTGCATGTTATAGTTGGCAAAATAAACCATTCTGGTCTCATTTAAAAGGAAAATAATTACATTTGTCTTGATGGGTACTGGAGAATGTTTGGCACCTGCACAGTTTTTCTGTTTGGAGAAAACAGAGGGGAAAGACTTGAGCATCTGAATGAAAAAAGGCTTGAAGAGACCCAGATATTTAAAACAAGAACAATAAGGAGTCATGGCATCTAATTTGTTTATTGCGGCACAAGTTTTTATGGACCACAGCCCACTTCGTTTTAAGCATGAAATGTTATCTTTGTTGTAAGATACACATGCATGCACACTCACATACCGAAAAATAAATGAAGACACTTGAGCCAAGAAGCCCTTCACTGCAGGCTTAAGGAAAATAATTCTGCAGACTTTGTAGGGAATAATCCTGAATTGGGACAAAATGATTCTTAAATTCTAATTAGCATATTTAGCAATGCACCCAAAAGCCAAATAGGAAAAGGCAGATGTAGCTGGACTGACCTTCTGCTGGACCATTCTGCCAATATTTAATTTCTTGCTACAAGATAGATATGCTAAACATACGTCATACACCTTATTAAAACAATTACACACAGCTGGATTTTCCTTTTGCCCTTAAATAATATTTGCAGTAAGAGGAACAAGCTTTCTGAGCATGACTACAAGTTATTGCTAGGGAATACTAGAATAGGCTTTAAACCATAAAAGCAAATGTCAAGCCAAATGTGATGTGCAACTCTCTCACCTCATTCCATTTTCAGCTACACTGAACCTTTCTTCTTCTTAAGTATTTATTTCAGATTAATTTCCCCACTGAAACTGCTTTTCCCCATGTTATTCTAAAAACAGGACACAATAACTATTCTTGCTGCAAAAGAGACAATTACTGTGCCCGGGCAAGAGTGTTTAGCTCAGAGGTAATAATGTTCATGAAGCATTTGAGTCTTAATAAGTCATTGTTATTATTAGAACTAGTACTAATGGCCCTAAATAATGCAAGTTGTTATGGGACTGCATTCTCTTAGAGAGCAGGTCAGCTCCAACTGTCTTCATAGCTCTTTTATAATGCACTTGATGAACATTTCAGGGCATCTGTGCTGGTCACTGCCTAGAGCTGATAGACTGGGATTTGTATTGACTGTGTAGTAGGCTGAATTCTTATTATCAGTGTGGACAAGTTTGTCATTGGTTCAAATCTGAGCCAACCACAAAATTTACTGGATGATCATGGGCTGGTAACTTCAGCCTAACATTGCTCACAATATTTGCTGCCTAGCTGAGGTAAAGATGTGGCAGTATACAATATTGTAATATGAGATTTGTGAATGTGAATGGTACTTTCATGGCTTTACCATACCATAGGCTTCTGACTTTAAAATACATCATATGTATGAGAAATCTGGGAGCCTCTCAACTACAGTCATACCTCAGGTTGAAGTAGCTTCGGGATGAATATTTTCGGGTTGCGCTCCGCGGCGACACCGAATGCAAAGGCAGCCAGGCGACACTGAATGCAAAGGCAACCTAATTGCAACACAACTTGTCACACACAAAGTGCTTATCAACACCTCCATTCGCCCCACTGCTTTCTCCCAGCGAAACCCGATCTTCAGCACCGAATCAGAACAAATGGTAATTGTGTTTTCTGCAGATTGCCATTTGTTCCAACTTGGTGCCCAAGAGTGGGTTTTCCAGGGGAAAGTGGTGGGGCAAAGGTAAAACCGCTTGGACCTGTGCTTAGAAAACACACGACAAGTGGAAACTGCTCAGACCCATGCTTTTTAGGCATGGGACAAGTGGAAGTGTGGACGGGCCACAAATCTTTAATCTATGCATTTAAATATGCATTCTGATATTTCAAGAATCTGGCTAAGCATTGCAAAGTGGATGGTTGTACATCTAGAACAGGATGGTAAATTTGTAGCCCTTTGGGTATAGTTGGACCCCCCACTTCCATCAGCCCACACAGCATGACCAATGGTCAGAGAAGATGGCAGGTGTAGTTCAGTAACATCTGGAAGGTCACTGCAGGCTCCCCATCCCTGACCTAGAAGTTATTCTTCATTAGCTATACATACAATCAGTAAACATGCTTGCATGCTCAGATCTCTGTTGCTTAAGGGGGTGAAAATGTGTCCAATACTTCTGAGGGTGTTTTGCTGTATTAACCTTAACGGATACCAATAAATGTAAATCAGTGTTTTGGTGCCACTAGCATGCTGTATCTTTCTTCAGTGCTTTTCTAAGGCACATTATTTATGACATGAGGAACAAACAAAGAAGTGCTGAGCACACAAAGCTCATGAACAAAGCAACTCCATATATTTATATCAAAGATGAAAGGGGAGTGGAATCAACAAGAAATAATAAAGATGGTGCAAAGCAAAATACGTTACAGCTGTGTACTTTTCCTGAGATTGTTTTAATAGCTGCCAATTCTTTAGACTCAGTTTATTTTTGTCATCCCTTAGAAGTTAGGAAATGTTAGATCTATACTTAGCATGTTATTTCTTACAAACATTAGCATTAGGAACCATACCTTGGTGTTACACACTATGATATTTAAACGCAGGCTGAGGCAAGTAATTTCATTTACTTGAGTTGTAGTCCTTAACACACTCACCATGGAGTAAACCCCATGGTGGAATTTACTTCTGAGTAAACATGCATAGGATTTAACACTTAGACTTCAGTGGCTGCTTTTATTCTGGGCACAAGCAGTGTGGCGAGCTAGAAGCAAGGCTGCAGGCTGAAACTTGGGGGAGGCAGAGCCATGCCTGATTCCTGTTTGAATCCAAGGATGTGGCTATGGGAGATGCAAGATCTCCTTAGGGTATTATGCTGTGAGCTCCTCTATCATAGGCTCGGGTTTTATATGTGTGTAAATAAACCAGGCAACTCCCCACTTGTGTGCATTGGTGTCGTGCGCACTAAAAACAACGCCAAAAGGGACCAAGGGGACAAAGGTGGAACAGGCAGGAATGACAGGTGTGGTGACCCAGAACGGAATGTTAGAGGACATTCGGCACAGAAACATGTGTGTATACCTTTAAGAAGTTTCTGGGATTAATTGGCTGCAGGTGACCGTTGCTATAAAGGAAAAAAGCTGAGTTTTGTTGCCTGCCTGCAGGAATAACATCCACCAGAGTTTGTGTTTATTTGCTTAGTAATAAAGTCTTCGTTTTAGTTTGGGTTTTTACACCTATGTCTCCTGGAGTCACTCTGTCCTCTGCCACCGGCTGGAAATCCCCCTCCAACACGGAACCCCTGTGCAAGTGGGGCGATGCCTGTATCAAAGACACCACAGTCTCCCCTGCCACTCATTCTGAGGAAACACAAACCCTGAGAAGGCACCTGGAATCCCTGGAATCTCACACTGCTTGAAGATTAGGGTGCTGCGCAACAATATATTAGTTCCATAGCCCAATTTAAAATGTCCAGTGTTTCATTGGAAAAGAGCATGACTAGTTAAGCAGGTCTAGGGTTGTAGTCAACAACTGTACCTGTGATCAGTGTACAGGAAATACAGACATGAATACACAGTATAAAATATAGCTGAAATATTATTATTAATGTACCTTGTAACCTTTGGTTACAAACACCTCGGGTTACAGACTCCACTAACCCAGAAGTAGTACCTCCGGTTAAGAACCTTACTTCAGGATGAGAACAGAAGTCATGCAACGGAGGTGCGCCGGCAGCAGGAGGCCCCATTAGCTAAAGTGGTACCTCAGGTTAAGAATGGTTTCAGGTTAAGAACAGACCTCCGGAACGAATTAAGTTTGTACAGCTACCACTGTAATGTCATTAGCATGCTTTGCAGTTTACTGACTAAAATAAGCAAATGGGCTCGCTATTGTGCTTTTAGTGGGTTTGAAAACCACCCATATGCTGTACAAGCTGTATACAGTATATACATTTAATGAACAAGTCCTTGCAACAAGGAGATCACAATCAGAATTTTGATAGTGAAGACCACAATGGAGAGGAATTGTGGTGTGACAGAGGCAGTAAGGGCTGAATGTGAGCAAATAGTTAGATATATTTAAAGGTAAAGGTAAAGGTACCCCTGCCCGTACGGGCCAGTCTTGACAGACTCTAGGGTTGTGCGCTCATCTCACTCTAGAGGCCGGGAGCCAGCTGTCCGCAGACACTTCTGGGTCACGTGGCCAGCGTGACTGTTATGTACTGAGTTGAATAGGATCCAAACTGCAGCAGTCTGATTGGTCCTAGAACAATAGGATCCAAATTGCAGCAGTCTGGTCCTAGAACAATAGATTCAGAATGCAGCAGTCTGATTGGTCCTAGAACAATGCAGCAGTATGATTGGTTGGCAGGAACCACCCAATCATGCTCCAGATATAAGTGAATCCACAACCTGATTGGCTTACAGTAGAATTCCAGAATTAGCCAATCATGTGCAGCCCATTGTGTAAATAATGTATATAAAGCAGATACTTTGAGGGGACTTTCATTCATTCCTCCTCACCACTATGAGCTGAATAAAGAGCATGAAATCACTTTGCGACTCTGAGTATATTTCAGTGACGAAGCTGCTCTGGCGAACCCGCACCAGAGCAGCACACGGAAACGCCGTTTAGCTTCCCGCCAGTAAGCAGTCCCTATTTATCTACTTGCACCCGGGGGTGCTTTTGAACTGCTAGGTTGGCAGGTGCTGGGACCGAGCGACGGGAGCGCACCCCGCCGCGGGGATTCGAACCACCGACCTTTCGATCGGCAAGTCCTAGGCGCTGAGGCTTTTACCCACAGTGCCACCAGCGTCCCTAGATATATTTAGGTTAGGATAAAATTCCTTCCACAAAACCACCTTATTTATTCAGTCTGAAAAAATGTATCTAAAAATGTTCCACTTCATTACGATTGTTCATATCCAAGAGTCAAATAATTAGATGTATTGTCTATCTATAATAAGGCATTCTTAAGAGGAAAAGAGCCCATTCTTGAAGAGGCTTATAATCAAGGGCTCTCCAATATTTCAAGGAAATATAAGTCTGGTGGCATGATCTTTCATCACACTGCACTCTGGATGTAATTGCTGTAGATGGAAGCCTCTGCCATAAAAACTGCAGAGCTGTCCAGGTTTTATGAGTCACTGATTCCCCACCTTCCAAACTTCATAATTCTTCCTCCAAGGAGGCGGAAGGAAATATAACTGAATTAGCAAAGTCTCAGATAAACCTGCAGTAAAGACTGGCAAACCCACAAAGCCATTTGTGGGCCAAGCTCTTTTTGCAACTTGATGCTGAGTCCTGTTGGAGTAGCCAAGCAGCCAGGGTCAATATTCTTTTAACAAAATCAATGTCTAAGCTGATTCTCTCTCTCTCTCTCTCTCTCTCTCTCTCTCTCTCTCTCTCTCTCTCACACACACACACACACACACACACACACGGGGGGGGGGGCTTTTGAACCTTTCACTGTTGACACAGGCATTACTTTTCCTGACATGGAAAGGAAAAGGCTTTCCTTGATGAAATTCTGACTTCACACCAGGGTATTTTTTTAAAAACAACAACAACATGATGAAATGTGTGGAGAGTCAATGCTGGAGACATGAAGGCTGAATTAGATGGACCTTTGGCCTCATCCAACAAGGCATTACGGAGCAAAATATTTTCTAGCTGACGTAGCAAACATTTATGTAAAAACCAGCACAGTTGTTTACACCTGGTTACACAGATATGCTGCTAGGAATCCATTTCAAATTAGCTGCAATCAAGCTACATTTGTTTTCATCCTTCTTGCTATAGTTTTAACCAAGTGATCTTGGAAATCAGAGGGACAGAGGTGAAAGTATATTAACCATGAGTCATGGAGTTCAGCAGGAACCTGTTAAACTTTGGCTAGCTGAGGAATATAAAGGAATATAAAGCTTTCCTCAATGCCAGTGGTACCCTGAGGCAGGGGATTGCTTCACAAAAGTCATTCAATTTAACAGAGGAAGCAAAGGTGAAAATTGGACTAGACCTATGTTTAGTACCTGCTTACATTGCAGCTGATTAGTGAAATACCGTATATGCTTACTTGTCTACTTCAACCCTTATTACTCCCCAAACATGCATGTCATACGTTCATTAGGATGACACTCTTTCAGTTTTTGTAAACTTAAAAGATCTATAGGGTATAAATATTCTCTCCCTGCCCCCAGAGGATTCCTGAGCCTTTAACTGGGGCATGGCAGGCAGAAATCGCAAAGGTTTGCTCTCTATGCCATACTCCCTATTAACTTTGCCTGTTGCACATCTGTTAAGTGCACAAGAGCCCTGCCAGAAACAGTATAGGACTAAGCAACCCAGTGTATTGCACTAATTTACAGTGAGCTGTATCTGATTAAGTTATACTCAGAGACCCACTGAAATCAGTGAACTTAAGTTAGTTATGACTAAGTCCATTGGCTTCAATTGGTTTACTCTATAACTTAGTTGGATAGCGGTACACTCATTCTTTTTGGGTGGATACATTCTACGAACAATGCATTTCAGTCCTATACATTACATTATTTATTTCAGCTGTATATTGCTGCACAGTTCATCAGAAGTCTCTAAGTGGTTTGCATATTATTATCATTATTATTATGATTAATAAAAATTTGTATTCTGTTCTTCATGCACAGATCTCAAGGCAGTTCACAACTTAAAATTACAATATAAAAACCACAAAATACATAATACAACAAACCAATAATTCATATCCCAATACCCCCTAACAATACTGTTACATGCCATCCCAATCTCCAAGCGGTGTGAGATTCTAGTAGTACCAGGCATGCTTACCAGGGTCTGTGTTTCCTTTTGGAACAACAAAGCACAATAGAGTCTGTGCTGTCTTTATCATATATGGTTTATTTACACATATATACAACCTGCATCTAGATGGAGAGAGTGCAGAGCTCTCACATTCCTTCCATTGCTGCAGCCTCCAAGTCAAAGAGACTCCAACCATCATGCCTGACCCTCTCTGCAGACTGCCTGCTCATGCTCTGTCCCACCCCCCAGCTTGCAAACTCCCCTCCCCCGTTCACTTACCTCCTCACTCACTGCAATTCTGCCTCTCCCTCCTGAAACTC